CCCCCCCCCCCCCCCCCAAGAAGATCCCGAGTGACTCATCCAAGAGCAGCCGCAAATGACACGCTGTATCAAGTGTGACTTTTTATGAGATCGAACTGTAGCCCAACCACGGTACGGTGTCTCCCATTGTCAGCTAAACTCAATCCCCCTTCAAAGGGAGGGGGCCAGCCTCTGGACCAATACGGCCGCCGGCCAAAAAAAAGCAAAAGAAAAAAAGAGGGGCTCATTCTTCCAAACCAACGCGCTGTCGCAACATACGACGTCTTGGGGGCGGCTATTGATTATACTAAGCTAGGTATGTATACTAGGTATGCCTGCCCTGGGCCAGACTCTAACACCGCTTTGCTTTGACCTGTAATCTCTAGTCTTTCTCCCGCTGATCATGGCACCCCGATCGATTGTGAATTTCAACCATGTCGCCATTTCCGTGCCGGACGCAAAGGCCGCGGTTGAGTGGTACACCGGCCTTTTTGACTTCAAGGAGATTGTACCTCTGAATGAGATGAGGAGTGACGCAGACAGAGGAGGTTCGGCGGCTGAAAGCAAGTCTCCCTGATCCTCCCTCCTTTTCTCCCTCTCTCCCTCTCTCCCTCTGATTTCCTTCACTGTCACACAGGGAAAAGACTCATAAAGGGAGATTCTACTCACACTCCCCGGTCTAGTCTACGGGTCCGAGTTCAAGTCGATGAAATTGGCCATTCTCGCATGTGGGAATGGAGTCGGGTTGGAGATTTTTGAATTCACCGACCCCAAGTACAACGGTCCGACTGAGCGCGTCAACTGGAATCCGGACACCTACACCCGGGGCGGGTTTTTCCACATCTGCCTCACCGTGGCAGACGTGGAGGCCACCATGAAGGAAGCCGTCGAGAGGGGAGCCAGAGTCGTGGGACGGAACGTCACTCTTGTGGAGGACGAGAAGGCAGTCTACCTTCAGGACCCGTGGGGGAATGTAGTAGAGCTACTGAGCTGCTCGTGCGAACAGCTATTCCTCAAATTTGGCAGAACATCCTGAAGGAAAAGATGACAAGCAGAATCCATTCCTTAGCAAAGACATCGGCGACCGCCCCGTACAGGTGGACCTCCCCCTTTTTATGTGTCAGTGTCGAAGATTCATTCGTTCGCCAACGCACGCTTTTCAAATGCAGCTCGAGGCATTGTCGACGGGGCATGATGGCCCCGTTGATTTCCCTTGAGGCGTTCCAACCCAAAAATGCCATCAGGTTGGCCACGTAGATGGGGCTGGCTGCCTTGTCCAAAAATCCCGCTCGGTGGATTGCAATGACCGGTCTAAGCACCGTCAGTCGAGGTACAGCTTCGTCGCCTCCAGACCCATACCCCGAGGACGAGCCGGTGATGATGGCCACCTGTCAAATTTCAAGTCATGATGTGGTGGCTTTCCAAGGGGTGGATGAGTCCGAGCCTTTGATTTCAGATCCTGCAGCATCTTTGTTGTTGGTACTTGTTGTGTTTCGTTTGATTCCAATACAGGCAGGTTTTCATGTACCTAGTCTCGAGGTTTCTTCCCTAGGAAATAACGCTTCGAGTCGACTTGCTGATGGGATAGGCCGTTGGAGCATATTGCGAAATTTACAGTCTCTCGATTTTGGGCGCTGGTTGACACCGAGTCGTACGTAGGGTAAGGGGACCAAGTGCACCTCCTTCAGGCGGCGTTGGTCATCCGGAGGTTGGCAAAGGACCGTTATGCTAGTGGATCAGTGGGGCGCAACCTGGAGAACCTGTTACGAGTCGGACAGACCGGCGGAAGAGAGGAGGGAAGCAATTAGCGGCGATCACCCCTCATCCCCCTCGACCTCACATCTAGGTCAAATATGAGGAGCTACAGCAGTCAAGATGTCTGGCATACGTGTCGGGGTGTGGTGAAGAAGGACATGAACAGTGTGCGCTGCTCCTGTTGTCGACGACCCATTTTTCAATTGCTTGTCCAATCTTGAAGCCATCCAACATGGCGCAGGGTCAAAACACGAGCAGCCTGCCCAACGCCTCGAACTCGCTGCCAGCGATGTATTCTCTGGCGGAAAAAATCACCTCCCCGTTTGGCAAGCGGCTGTTGGAGCAAGCGAAGATGAATTTGGTGCCAGAAGACACAAGTCTGCGAGTCTTGGACTGCGCCTGCGGCATCGGCATTATTTCCGCCCATCTGATGGACATGCTTGCACACGGCGCGCGGAAAAACATGGCGTTAACGTGTCTTGACGCCTCCGAGCCACAGATCGCCTACCTGAGGCAACGCGTCGCCGAGGAGGGGTGGGAGAACGTGACTGTGGTTTTGGAGGACGCACAAGTAGGAGCCCTTGCCTCTATTTCCGCGTCCATCCCGTTGTCTTCCGGTCGTGAAATGCCTAACTTCCCATCTCCACCAAAGGACACGAAACTTCCGTCGGCATCACTCTCTCACATCTTCATAAACATCGGGCCCACCTTCTTCCGCAGTCCAAGCGCTGCAATGAAAGAATGTCGTCGTCTACTTCAGCGAGGAGGCGTTGTGGGCGTTTCGGTGTGGAAGGGTGTCGGCTGGCGGGAGGATATGGAGGCTGCCATCCAGTCTCTAGATGATGAGCTGCCTTTCCCCACACTCGAACAGCTGCTTCGCATCCACACAAGTGAGCTAGGATGGGAGAACACAGAGGCGTTGAAGAAAACGATGCAAAAGGACGGATTTGTAGATGTTCAGGTTACGGAGATGGCCGAGAAGAGCATATTAGCGGATGTGGAGGAATACATGCTGATGCACTCTGCCGTTATGGGCCTGATCATGAGATTCTGGACCTTGGAACAGAGAGAAAGCTGGGAGACCAAGGCGTCCGAGTCTATAGAGAAGTACATGAGACTCAAGTATGGGTCCAGGCCTATCCCTTGGACGTGGGAGGCACTTTTAGCCACGGCGCAGACACCGGCTTGACCTCTGCTGTACCTGTCCTTTTTTCAAGAAGCTCTACTTGCGGGCGCCCCCAAGCCTACCTAGGAACCTACGTGGGCTACGCAGAGGGCGACCCACGATTGACGATTCGTACTATTTGTGACCGCCTGTTGAATGACCCGTCACTGCCACGAGCGTCCTTTTCGATCTTTGCCCTCCTCCTTCCTATTCATCATCACTCGCCTGGACACTGCTCCTCTTACTGGCACACAAGGATCGCATCCCCGAATACCATCCAGTCGCCGCCAACGGAAAATGGCCTCCAATCAACTCCGGGTACTCACCTCCGAAGACCTTGCTTCACATCGTCAAAAAGAAGATCTATATGTGGTCGTGCATAACAAAGTATACAACATAAGTCCCTTCGTCACTGAACATCCGTAAGTGCAGGACGGTCTCACCCGACCGAATCTCGAAAAGTCCAACCCACTTTGGCACAGAGCAGACTTAACACTAACAGTCAACTGGCCACAGAGGTGGCGAGGACGCCTTGTTGGACGTGGCAGGGACGGATGCCACCGAAGCCTTTGAGGATGTTGGGCACAGCGATGAAGCTCGTGCACTTCTGAAAGGCTTCTTGGTGGGGGAGTTCAAACAGACGGTGCCTGCCACTCCCTCCCCGGCCATTACCCCCCAGTTTCCTCGTGTTAACTTCTGCACAGTCGCCGAAAGAGTCCGTCAGGACCGCGTCACATCACACGCCCATGCAGGGGGATCGTTCCGTATTATCAAGTCGACTATATCTGCCGTTGCTGGTGGTGCTGGTGCTAATTGCTGTCCTGTATCTCCGGTGAAGAGGAGGAAGACATTTTTCCAACGGCGGTGGGGCTCCTTTGAACATATCTATGAGAAACGCTGTCCCTATACAACAATGACGCGAAATCAACATTTTCTACATGTCTACATGCCATGTATCTGTTATCTTGTCATCCATCGGTGCAGGAGTGCATCTCCAGATCTCCCTCTTAACCCGCGTGACATTCACAACCTCGCCAACCGGGTGGCTGCTGACCTGACTAAATTCATCTGTAGAGAGTCCTCCGGCACCAGACCGTAGCGTGCCAGCATGGCAGCAGCCGTCTGCTCCTGTGAAGCAACCTTCTCCAGCATCAGGGGACCTCTCTTGCTTTCATTGCGACCCAGTTGGAGCAGATGGACCTCGTCCGGACCATTGACGATACGCATCGCTCGTCCTGCCGTCCAGATCTCGGGCAGAGGGGTATCTTGACACACCCCTGCGGCCCCAAAAGCCTGCACGGCGCGATCCGCCACATCCAGAACCACTTGTGGCGTTTGGATCTTCACCATCGATATCTCCCTCAAGGCCCCCTTCGCGTTGGACTCGTCAATGATGATCGCGGCATTGAGCACCGCCAGACGCGCGGCGTCGATCTCGACCCGACTCCGCGCGACTCTCTCCAGCATCACACCGTGCTCGGAGAGCTGTTTTCCAAATGGCTTCTTGGACGGATCTGTGATGCGGGCGACAAAATACTCCAGCGCTCGCTCGGCCTACAGAAATGCACAACACGGTCAGCTAGGGTGGAGAGAAGAGAGAAAGAGAGAAAGAAAGAAAGAGATCGTGCTTACATTACCAATCGAGCGCATGGCGTGGTGAATGCGGCCAGGTCCTAGCCGGCCTTGGATCACCTCAAATCCTCGTCCTTCTCCCAGGACGACATTTGATGCCGGCACCCGCACGTTTTCGAACTTAATGTGTCCGTGTCCGTGGGGAGCATGATCGAAACCCATGACGGACAGCGTTCTCATGATGGTGATGCCGGGGGGCGTCTGACGGAACCAGGACAACAGTCTGCTGCCGGTAGGGCGACGGGTTGTTGGGATCGGATTTGCCCATCAGAATATAGAGCTTGCACCGAGGATCGGGAGCTCCACTACTCCACCATTTCTGTTGACGGAAGATTAATCTTCTCTTCTTTTTCCGTCTAGCTTAGGGTGGGAAAATGGGGGTGGAGCGCCCCAAAGGTGTGATCCAACTCACCTGTCCGTCGAGGATATACGAGTCACCGTCGCGTCTGATGGAAAACTGAATATTCGTCGCGTCGCTGGAGGCAACATTTGGTTCCGTCATGAGAAAAGCTGATCGAATCTCACCCTCCAGCAACGGTCGAAGCCACTGCTTCTTTCGTGCCTCCGTACCGTACTTGGCCAACACTTCCATGTTGCCCGTATCGGGAGCGGCACAGTTTGTGGCCTCGCTGGCCACGACGCTTTTACCGAGATATTCTTCCATCAGGCCGAATTCCAGGTTGCTGAACCCGGCGCCTTCGGCGTAGTGAGCCTTGGGGAGAAACATGTTCCAAAGCCCCAGCCTCCGAGCTTCGGTCTTGAGATCCTCCAGGATCGCCGGATGCGCTGCAAGCCGAGACTGCGTGCTTGTCCCGAGCTGCTGGGCGTAGACTCTGTCGGCGGGGACGCATCGTTCTTCGACAAATTTCTCGACCTGGCAGATTCGTGGTCAGATTTGGCTGAGTCACATTGGGAGTCTATATTCTTCGTTTTCCTGCCTTACAAGATCCAATGTCTCCAAAGCTCGTTGGCTCACGAATGGTCTCGCGATGGCGGGAACTCTCTTCGACGCCGGTACATGGTCTCCGGGAGGGCGGAGTAGAAGGACATGGTGGTGGAGCTTTTTGCGTGGGACGTCGAGGTTTTCAAACTTGCTCTGCACTGTTGTTAATCTGGTTGGTGATGGCAATATACACGGTCTCTCGTAGAAGTTTAGTACCTTTCCTTCAGAGATGGCACAAACTTCCCAGGGCCTGGCCTGGCCTGGGACTCCGTTTCTCGGTATCCACCGTGCTGAATGTCGGAGATTGTACGGGATGTAAGTCCTCCTACAGCCGTAGCTCCATAGCCGGGACTGGGCTTTACTCCAGCCTCGTGGCCCGAACATCCTACGAGTCGTACGTAGCCTTCGGTTTTCCCGGCCACACAGCATTCGAAATCTGGAACACAGATGCGATGGTAATACCTATTTTGCTCCGCCTCAACCCAGCCAATGATGCGTTTAGTAATTATCGTGGGCCGATTTCGGCGGCTATTCGCACGGCGGATGGACGACCTCTCAGGCCATGCGAATGGTATGGAGGACGATGAATGTCAGCAGCTGATTGCAATCACTTTATAAGGAGTGCCGACGCAGTGTTGTCTCATTTTGAGAGAGAAAAGACAGAGCGCTGGGAGTAGCAAAGGCCAAACACTCCGACCGAAAATCTTGCATTATGGCACGAGAAATCGTCAACAGGAACCGCTATCCTTTTCCGTTCTCCGAGGAGGCGACGAGCCGTCCCAAAATCAAGGATCCCGACAGTCGAGGCGCCATTTATTCACCGCAAGCGAGCAGACTGCGCAGGTTGATGAACGAGTCATTCCGCAACCCGGACCGAATTGTGGCCCTCCCCTGCGCCTGCGATGCACTCAGTGCAAAAATGATCGAGGACGCGGGCTTTCCGGCAGTCTTCATGTCCGGATTTCCTGTCGCTGGTTCTCTCGGTCTGCCAGACACCGGCTACATTGCGTTGGGCGAGATGACGCAAAAGATCCAAGAGACGGTCCGACGAATCTCTGTGCCCCTCATCGCGGACGGGGACACCGGATATGGAGGTCCCATGAACATGAGGAGGACCGTCAACGCGTAAGTTGTCGTGCTATCGGCCACAAGACACGCCGGGGGGGGGATTGGCCCCGTCACACTGACAGAGTTGGCGCAATGGCAGGTTTGCTTTGGCCGGTGCCGCTGGAATCATGATCGAAGATCAAACGTGGCCCAAAAGTGCGTCTGTCAAACTTTCCCTAGCCCCGACGTGACAAGTGACTGACGACAGGCGGTGTTTTCAGGATGTGGCCACACAGTGGGCAAAGCCGTGGTGGCAGAAGACGAAGCATATGCTCGCGTCCAAGCCGCAGTCGATGAACGTAACGAGGGCCTGGATATATGGATCATGGCCCGAACAGACAGTCTGATTCACGGCTACGACGTCGCCCTGCGCCGTGCGAAACGATTCATCGAGCTGGGTGCAGACTGCATCTTCGTAGAGGCTCTGCCGGATCTGGCGACCATGCAGAGGCTAGTCAAGGATCTGCAATTTCCATGTATGGCCGCCATCATCCCCGGCGGCCGCACCGAAAATGTGTCCGCGGGTGTGTTGGCAACGGCGGGGTTTGCCTGCGTCGCATATCCTTTTGCAGTGATCGCGGCCAAGATAAAGGGCATCCGGGAAATGTTGGAAGAACTGAAGGCCTCCTTCACCCAGGGCAAGTCACCGGATATCTTGACTGCCGATGAAGTATTTGACGCTGTGGGATTCAACAAGTACTACAAGCTCGAAGAGCGGTACCAGTATGCTGCATCGAAGACCGGAAGCAACGGCCACCAATGGAATTGAAAGATGATTTGACGGCTCTTGCAATTCGAAAGTCGCAAAGCATCATTGGGCCTTGAGGAGTCGAGTGTAACAGCCGACATGCGGTATTCTTGGTGTTGTAAGGTAGTCGCAAGTGGAGACTAGTGTAATCATGTGATCTGTTATGCCCTACAACTAAACTACTTTGGGTTAGTGCATATACAGGCAATGGGTGTCTCGGTGTGTAATGCAAGAAGAACAATTCATTACCCATGCAAGCGATGCCCTCCCTGGCTCCCAAGGCTCGACAATAAGGCAAGTTGGGTCTCGTCCAGTAATAATGCCCAAAGATATGCTCAGCGGGATGTGACTCTGAGCACTGAGCGTGGAGTTGAAGAAAGGAACTGTTGTGGGGAGGGAAGACCGATCATCGGAGGACTCGTGCCTCCGTCCACCTGCTACGAATCGTACTGAGCATCCGAGGATCTCAAGGGTTCTCCAGGCCGGAGGCGGCCCCTAGCGCCCCCTTTCCCCCTTTTGGCCCCATGGGGATGGATACAGGTCTCGGTGGCTCGCGAAAGACGGGCCGGTATTCTCACTTGGGATCTGCATTATTATCGCTGTCAACTCTGTTCATAATAATGACGGATTGGCACGATGCATCCGATCGAATGGGATACGTGGCTTTGAAATTCAACTGGATCTCGGACCATGTCATGATTGGAAACTATCAAAACCACGAATTCTGTGCTAATCCGCCGTCCATGTTCCCCCTTGTCCCCGTCTGCAAGCCGTCGAATATGATATGTTGGCACCAATCCGACAAACTGCCTTCCTGGAATGAGGTGTGTGGGAAAAAGGCCCCATCATCCATGTGAAAGCCGGAGGGAAAGACTGATGCGTCGGGAAGCTCGAGCTCTTTCGGTTCTTTGAGAGACCCTTCCGAGAGAGGAAGTTCGGGCAGAGCATCAGTAATTTGCGGTGTGTGGGCTCCAGGGATGCCCATGCTGTCCCTATCACATGTCCATGAGTTGAAACTTGGAGTGCGATGGCTGCGGGTCGGAGACTCTGGACCGGTCACGCCCGAGTTATGTTGCAGTAGCGTGTTGGTGGTGGAGTTGGCCGACACAAGATCGGGACCCATAAAGGAGCCTTCGGGTCCGTGTTGGACTTGGGCCTCGTTATGGATTCCGTCGTTGGCTTCGACCGTAGAAGGAGCATGGGTAGAATCGTCTGGCGAGGAACTTGATGACCTCTCCGATGCGCACGGGAGCAGGTCCGGGAATTCGAGGCCAAAACTGTCGTTAAGAGTCCAATTTTCGAGCTCATATATGATTGTTTTGAACCTAGGGTCAAGATCCAACCCGGAAAGGTCTTCTTTGACTCTGAGCAGAGTTTGGTCCTTGAGGCTCCCACAACTTTGGATCTCAAAATGCCGCACAAATTCGATTGATAGCGACTTGACTTTGTACTGGTGCCAGGTTGAGATCAACTTGTCCCTGAGTGCAGGCCTACGAGAGTCATTGTTAGCATGATGGAGCCGACGTTCAGGTTGCAAGGGTGGACAACATACCAAATAAGGAAGTCGATGAAGCCCGGATGCTCGCAGGTCAGCTGAGACCGAGTCGGCCAGAGCCAGGGCGGACAGCTCAGCAGATTCTCCTCAGAGGGAACACTCAGGAACTAGATTGCCATGTACCGTCAGGGTGTTTGATACAAGATATGGTTCACGATAAAAGGGCCCGGACATACCAGGAAGTACGTGTAGAGCGACCAATACATGGCAATGCATTCCGTCTCTGATCGGAACAATTTCCTCCATCGGGTGGTCACCTCGCAAGCACACAGTGCCACGGCGCGCTGCTCGCACTCTAAGCTTGTCAGAGGTTGCCACGACTGTGTTTCGAGGTCAAGACGGGATGGGCCCCCCAGATGGTCAGGTTTCAGCAACCGATCGTGGATATATTCCCAAAAGTTCTTGGAAAGGATGCGGCGGCGGATCTCCACTGTTCGTTGGATACATTGTCAGATGCCATCGAAAAGCTTTGATCAGCAGGAGCAGACGTTACTCACGAAGATTCAGTGAAACGGGTGCTTGTTCCAAGCCGCAACACTTGAGAAGGAATTCGAACCCTAATCCATGCTGACCACGAAACTTCCACGACAAGATCGTTTCCACAAGCTCAGTTCGAGCAGTCGGCCAGAAATCCGAGGCTGGCAAGCTCGATTCTTTCCACGGGAGGGACGAGACGCCATGGAACAGTACGTGGTCGAAGAAAGGGAGTGTCCCGGCCAAAGATGCCGTTTCCCAAGCCAGGTCCCTGTCCGTCTGTACCCCGATGTCACACATTGTCTTCACCTCGCCCGGGTTGGGTGACTGGATGGCTCGTGATTGTTGTCTTCCTGTTTTCGGAGCGTATATGGCAGGAGGAGCAGCATTTGTGCTGGCACTAGAGCTGGCACTGGCGCTGGCGGCCGTGTTGGTGCCAGCGACGGCAGTGCTTGTGTTCCAATTGGCGGATTCCTCCAGAGACTCTCTGCTGCATTGAAGAATCATTCCCATACGTGACTCCATGTTACTGAGAGACGCCTGAAGCATTTCATTCTCAGCCATGAGTTGCTGAATCAAAATGTCGGGTTGTTGTTCGAGAAGGAGGCTGAGCCGTTCCTCCAACGCCGTCACGGTCCGTTTGAGGTGCATCCGTGTTCTTCGTTGGCCGATTCGGTCCATATATCTCTTGCGTTCAAGCTGCTGATGGGTGAACCTTTGTTTCCAGCTGGGCTTCTCGCTCGCCATGATGACCTATGATGGTAGGTAGAGTCAATAAACAAAAACACAGTCGAACCTTTGATGTGGTGGAATTGTGGTCGTGGTAGGGGAACCTGGGAGGATCAAAGCGCAGCTGGTCTGGGCGACGTTTGCCTCCCTATTTTAATGCACTGCTGGTTTGTCACGGGAACGCGGGGGCGCGGGGTTCAAGTTCTGGGGATCGAGGCAAGGGGCTGAATTAGTTAAGGGATCTCGCCCACCAGACCGAGCTTACGCGTGGATAAGAAGACTCCCGAGTCCCAGGTGCATTGGCAGAAGAAAGGACCATAATGACTGGCTGCACGAAATCTTGCATGGCATCAGCTGTCAATTCAATTCAGCGGGCCGCTACTCGTGAACGCTAGAGTCCAAGACCGCTGTCAAATCTTCAAATGCCTGTCGGATATTCGCGGTATTCGCCTCCCAGTCCGAGCGAGTGTCCTTTCCCAGCTCGCCGCGCATGGCCAGGACGAGATCTGCCCCTGCTCCCCCCGCAAAAGCCAGAGTAGTGAGGGTGTCTACTACCTGAAGCTTCATCACTTGGAGGGTCTGTTTCAGTTGTGCCGCGGCCCAGAGCCCTCCTTTGATCCCATAAGCCACGATCATCGCTGGCTTCCCTTGCCACTCGTTGTAGAGGTAATCGATGCTGTTCTTCGTCCCGCCTGCCATTCCGCCGTTGTACTCCGGTATCACCCAAATGTAGCCAGCATGCCGGCTCACCTCGGCACTCCATGATTTGGTGGCCTTGTGGACGTGGGATGCGTGGGCTGGAACCATTGCAGGCGGTGCTGGCTCGTTGAATACGGGGAGCTCAAAGCTGGCCAAATCCACCAACGACAGGGTGAACTGTTTTGACTTGGCTTCCGGCTCGAGGGTGTGTAGCACCATTTCCGCGACCTGGGGACCAATGCGGGGCGTGCGAGTGCTCCCGATGATCACAGCTATGGAACGAGGAAGCTGAGCCATCGGTGTTGATGCGCTTTCGGAGGATCGAGAGGCGGGTTCTAGGGGCAGCTCCACGAAAACGGGTTGTCTGTCGGAGGGAAACCAGAGGTCGCTGAGCAATTTAAGACGATCACATTTCTTCTCGTTGCTCGAACGACTGGCCCCCCGCCCGTGTTACGCGCAACGCTTAGGTCGGCTGTCGTCGTGTACGGAGTACGAGTCGTAGAAAGTGGAGACATTGGGGAGTTCATTTGAGAGGAGAGCAGGCACTAGCAAGGCGATTTGGTGTCATTGCTACTTGCTCCATGCGCTACCTAGGCAATCTACCGAAACGAAGACCAAGAATGGCCACTGAACCCATTAGGATCTTGAGCATCAACGGACTCTGTATCAACCTAAATCGCAAGGGTAATGTAGCTTCACGTGACGTGCGGAAATTTAGTTTGGTGCAGCGCTTTGAATGGCTGGTTTCCTGGCTTGCCTGGTCAGCCTCACTTGGTTTGCACATAATTTTGACCTCTCTGGAATTTGAATCGACCGTCCAAAGAGGATTCATGGAACCCTCTGCTGTTTGTTGAGGAACTTGGTGTCATTCCTTTCACCACATTTCTTCTTGAGCAGCTGCAAGGTGTTGGTGGCCACTTTGCCACTGGCAGCTAGAAGCCGCCAAGATGCCAGCAGTGGCGGGCGGAGCCTACCTGTGTGATTTCACGGAGGACTTAGTTGGCATTCGAAGAGGTCCGAGGGACCGTCTGACTATATAGTATCTGAGGGTTACTAGCGTGTTTCGAAGACCCCTGGTCATTACAAACCTTGGCAGACCGTCAAAAGGGTCACGTGGGCCACCTATAGTCACACCTGTGCCCAGATTTATCACGTGTAACATCACGTGATGAGATATCTCCGGCTCCATCCTCAGTAGCTGGATCAAGTCGATAGCCAAAGTCAAGGTGATATATATGTGTGTTTGAATCAGTATGACGAATAGAAGTATCCTGCGCCTCTGTTCTGAGGCTCTTATATGTGCTTAAGCGTGAGGAATAACGACAAAGCCGAGAACCAATACGAGTCGTAGCAGCAAACATCGTAAAGTCGGATTGAACTACAGCCTCTGGTGGCCTCCCAATGACTCTTTATGGGCCAGGCTGTTCACAGAGAGCCGATTTGCCCTTTTCAAGGATCGATTCTGGCCTCGTCTCTATCTCTCCAGGGGACTGACTTTATTGAAAAGCTGGAGCGACGATGGCTCTCCTTCACGAGGTTCTAAATCTGACACCAATATGGCCACTAATCTTGTTGGCGATCCTGATGACCCTGATCTCGTATTATCGCATCTACTGGAGGCCAATTCGAGGCCTCCCGGTGGTGGGGTTGGAAGCAGTGGGATGGCGTCGTTGGCGCGCCGGGAATTTCTATACTACCAACTCGCAGGCGGTACTCAAGGAGGGTCTCTCACGAGTATGAAAGAAAACACAAAACACACCAATGTACCGGGAGCGACCGCCGCTGACGTGCCCCTAAAGGATCAACCTTTCCAAGTGATGACACATAAAGGTCCCAAGATCATCCTCCCACCGCGTTACGTTGGCGAAGTCCAAAGCGACCGTCGTCTGTCCCTGGACATCCCCAATGAGGATGACTTCTTTGTCCAGTGGCCAGCATTCTCCCCGCAGGCCGCATTCACGGACAAACACGTGCTCGTGGATACCATCAACAAGAAATTAACGCCGTCGCTGACTCGAATCACGGAGCCTGTGAATGAAGAGAATGAGCTAGCGATCAGGACGCTCTTCCCGCCCACCCCGGAATGGACGCCGATCCAGCTGGTAGACCAATTGTTGCTCCTGACGACACAGACGTCGTCGCGCATATTCTTGGGCCTACCGACTTGTCGGGATCCGGAGGTCATTCGAATCATGCGGGACTATTCGGCCGAGCTTGTGGCGGCGTCCCAAGTCATGATGACGTGGTCGGCGGTGTTGCGACCGCTGGTGTACCTGTGCCATCCGACGGTACGAAGGCTGGCCCGGACAGTCAGCTCAGCGCGGTCCATCCTGGCGGCCGAAATCCGGCGACGAAACCTGGCCTCTGGACAATCTGACAAGAAGGCCGGGTTAGAGCGAAGATTTGACTCGCTGGAGTGGATGGCCCAGGTCGCCCATGGCAAGAAATTCGACCTGGTCGGAGGGCAATTGAGTCTTGGCTTTGGTGCCATCCACACGACGTCCCACACCCTGACCGAGGTCTTCTACGACATCATCGACCATCCGGAACTGGTAGACGAGCTGAGAAAGGAGATCATAAACTGCTTCCGGGAGGACGGCAGCTGGAGCAAGAACACCCTCTACAGGATGAAACTCATGGATGCTGTCATGAAGGAGAGTCAGAGACTCCGGCCCATTCGAAGCAGCAAGTTCCCTTACCAAAATGAATTGCCCGGAGAGAGAGACAGAGAAACTGATGTTTTTGTCACTAGTCCTGTTCCGTCGCGTGGCCTTGGAAGACGTCACCCTGAGCGACGGCACTGTCCTCCCTCGCGGAGTCGAGGTCAACATCCCGAACATGCACATGCGCACAGACGAATTGTACCCTCATGCGACCAAATTCGATGGCAAACGCTTCCTGAACCTCCGACTACAAGCGGGTAATGAAGCCAAGTACCAGTATACCACGACGGGACAGGCGAGCATGGGTTTCGGCCACGGTGCACACGCATGTCCGGGACGGTTCTTCGCCAGTAATGAGATGAAGCTGATGCTTGCACACTTATTGATGAAGTTTGACTGGAAGTTTGTAGATGGGAAGAGACCGCAAGACCACAATGTGGCGGAGCAGATGATCCTCGACCACGAAGTCAAGATTCTGTACCGGTCGCGCGAGAGCGAAGTGGAATTTGTTCCGGGTACGAGCGTCGGTCCATGAAGGGTGTCCCGTTCTGGTTACGAGCCATCCCGTGCGATCCCTTCTTCCTGTCTCAATCTCTGGCAGAAGATTGGTCGCTCAGGACGCTGGAATATTGTGTGCGAGAGCTACGGTAGGCTCGCCCAGGAGGTCATCAAGGCTCTCCGCTTCGGGGACGCGCGATGGCGTCTTTGGAGACTCCTCGCCCAGGAAGACGTCCCATGTTCCCCGAATATCTAGGACGTACATGTGCTTGAGGTCCTTTCTTAGCCCGTAGTGTCTGCTCTCAGGTGTTACAGACATCGCGTCCTCCGTGTTTGAGTCGTTGACTTAGATACTATGATCGTCCTCGCGCGTTGAGCCCTCCTCCAGACCGCACGGGGTTTGAATGCAAAGGGCGAGATACGGTTCGGCGACTTGAAATAGTGGGTCTTGATGCCGCTGGTCATAAACTCCCATATCGTAATTCAACCAAACCGGTAAAGGGTATTGAACTCTTAGATTGGCTATTCCCCAACGCCCCTAAGCCAAGGTCATGACTGGTACCTGGGGGATTCATACTCCTGACATTCCATGTTGCGTGATTGGTTTTACTTCCACCCACACGCCATCTGGAAGACCGGCTCCCGACTATCGCCTCGACACGATGAACTTCGAGTTGCTCCTTGACGTGCAGCGGTTTCTCCGGCGGCTGGACGTCTTTATCGAGGACAAGATTGCGCCGTTGCAGCGTGAGAACGATCGGTTCTTCGACTATCGGAGGAAAACATCTCGCACCGACTGGAACAACCATGGCCTCCCGCACCCCGAATGGGAGTCTTTGCTTCGGCGGGTGCGGAAGCTGGCAGATGATGCGGGTTTCTTCAGATTCGCTTTCCCTCAGGAGTACGGCGGACCAAGGGGAGCTCACAACCGAATCTTTATATGTGCGCAATCCGATACCATTTGACGGTGAATCACGGAGGCGGGTTAGGGTTGGCCAACGACCTTCAGAACGAGCACAGCGTGGTGGCCAACGATCCCATCACCATCATGTTGCATCATTACGGCAGCGAGGTCCAACGGTCCACCTTGATCCCAGCTGCGGCACGGGGTGAATTCCGCGCGACATTTGGCCTCACCGAGGTCGACCACGGTTCGGACGCGACCTTCATAGACACCACGGCAACGCGAGTGTCGTTGGACGACGGACAGCTGGGCTATGAGATCACAGGGAACAAGATGTGGCAGACGGGATCGTGTTCGCGCGAACCTCAGGCAAGCAGGGGTCGCCCCGTGGTATCACCGCATTCCTGGTGCCGATGACCTCGAACGGTGTGGTGGTGGACTCATTCCAGTGGACGCTGAACATGCCGACAGACCACGCGACCATCTTCTTCAAGGCGGTCCGGGTGCCCGACACGGCCATCCTTGGCCCCGTGGACGACGGACTCGAAATTGCCTAGACCTTCACGCTTGAGAATCGCATCCGGCAAGCAAGTTCGAGCTGCGGCGCCGCGAAGGACTGCATCCAGCGAAGCATCGAGTACGCAAATGCTCGCATCGTCTTCGGCAAGCCGCTGTCGTCGAACCAAGCCATCCAGTGGCCGCTGGTGGACCTTGCCACCCAAGTCGAGATGCTGTGGCTCCTGATCCTGCGGGCTGCCACCGAGATGGACCGCATAGCCACCGAATACCTGCGCCCAGCTCCATCAACTAGTTAGATCTCAAGTTAAGGTAGCAGCTAGCTTTTTACTGCAGCTGACTGTGGCGTTTTTCTCGACATCAAGAATTATAAATGGCCGATCCTCTCACCATTGCCGCAAGTGTGGTTGGTATTACCGTTCCAGCTTTACACGGCACAAAGCTACTTCTAGATGACCTGGAGAAGCTCAAATATGCGCCCAAACTGTCAGGCGCCTAGCTGACGATGTGCATTCGGTCGACGCAGCACTGAAACTATAAAGGATAGAGAATGGGAACCGATCTCAAGCGGTGGACTAGATACTCGAATGGCGGGAAACTGGCATGACAGGACCGAGCAAATGTGGGATTCTTTAAGCAAGGGTAAATCAAGGCTAGGTCGGAGCAATTTCAAAACTGCAAGGTCACTATTAACACCCTCGTCAGCATAGCAACCTTGTGAGCAACCCCAGTTCGAGCCATGCAGTACAGAGGATGGGCTAATATTCGTACAGGTACAGCTCTGTCCACAATAGCCATATCGCGGAAGAGATTAAAAAGACGATATCTACAAAGCAGGCTGAGGTCAAATGTGCTATTGCCACGGCGGATAAGCAGCCGATAGTATTAGAGTACAAGATGGAAGATATGGACCATCTTTGAACCTAATTAGTTTATTGTTTATCATTGTCAGACAGAAGAGAGTTCCTGATGAATAAAGGGCTTCAGTATGAAATGTAAGATAGTAGGCGGCGACCGAAGATTTTGGAGTGCCCCTAACACACTACCGGGATTTGGAATCATCGATGACAATATCCGGTATGGTTCTTCGGCCAGCTGAAATATGGTGCTCAATTTCGAGAAAGCTTGGGCCAGATATTCGACTTCCTCAAGCGGTGACGGCTCCTCGCCGTTTCCACCAGCAAGAGTTTGCGCGATGAATACCGTTGATGCAATCATCAGGTGTTGGACCGTTATCATCGGCATATTTTGACAGTCGAACCTTTTCGTGCAGGCCTGCATAGTTCGAAGAACTCGAAGAGCGTTTTCTCGACAAATCTTCCTAGATGTGAGAGAGAGTTGGTTGATGAGTGAAGCGTCGTCTCCATCATCATATTCTTCGTATGTCTTATAGTATGTCGAACGCCAGTGTACCAGGATGAGAAGGGAATGGTAGTGTTGACTGGGCGGGATATGTCAGTACAACTTGAAAGTCACATCGGATCTTTGTGCAGTCAGACAAGGGGGAAGGGGTGATTGGAGACACTCACTGGAGAATAAAGTAGCTGAGACGCGCTTCGCTTATATTGTTCGGCAGCCATTGGATACTCGCCGGTAGCCCAGCATACCATCTGTGAAGCTCGGTGTCCATTGTTGCAAGTTTGTGGAATGCAGGTCTTTTTGGTGACCGGAGTTTGGATTCCATATCCGTCGTTATCCTGCTCGTGATGTCCAAGAGTCGTAGCCAGGCAGAACGGAGCTCCAGCATGTTACTCGAAGGGCAAGATATTGCTGCCTCGGACGATAACTTTTGCAGGATCTTCGGTACGCGAAGCCCTGTAAACCCAAGGCCTATAGGACGAACGAAGGAGATCCTCCAAAACCTGTAGACGTGAGCAGTGCTACCATTCCTGCATCAGGCCGTGTACATACTGATCGTAGAAATTGCAACAAGATAGTATCCGAGCTCGAGCTTGTGCTTCTTCGTCGGAAGTTTGAAGAGAAAAGCGAATTGCTTCAATTGATGACAGGGTCCCACGCGCTCTCTCTGTTATAAAGTCAGCATGGGCGTGGGTAAATCCGGTTTACAGCTTTGATGGTGAATGAAAGGCCAGCGTTGACGAACGGTCGACTCACTCGCATACATCCATCCGGATTCGGTTCTTCCTACACCGCATTCCAAGTCGGCGAGAATCAACAAAGCTTGAGCAAATGCAAACGTATTGGTATCACCCTGTCCTCGCTCCAGGTAGTTCTTCGCCGCCCGGTGCAATTTACTCTCCCTTCCCTCTCCACTTATGTCACAAAGTGTTGACTCATTGACATTGATATGTCGAAGGCCCATAGCGAGCAAACACACACGGAGGAGTAACGAATACCAGTCCCGATCTTGAGATTGCTCATACCTGGAGAAGGCATCCGGGTCCACCAGATTTGTGAGGTCGTTGTAATTTTGCCAGAATGAATTCATCAGAAGACTTTGAGTCTGGCCGGAGGTGCCACTGATCAAGTTGTAAAGTGTGGTGTCGGTGGTGTCGGTGGTGTCGGTGGTGTCGGAAGTCTCGATGGTGCTTGGGTTGATGATATTCCAGTGGTACTCATGATTCATTCCGGCAGATGTATGCTGCTGAGGAAATTGCCCGGATAGTTGGTCGCTGCCCAATCCCAATTCGTCGTGGTAGTCTCCGAGGTGCTCTGTGGGCAGCTCAAAAAGCCTCTCACCTTCATTTGGGCTCACATTCGCTGGAGCTAATGAGGTTGAATGTCCTGATTGAAGGTTTTCTTGAAAACTACCGCTGAGTGACTGATCAGGTACGGCTCCACCTAGTTCTTGGATCGTCTCTTCAAGCAGTCGGATTCGTTCAACCAATGAAGCGACATACGCTTTCGATGACGGGCTGCATAGGTTAGCCGGGTCAATGACATGTGTGGGTCTTGAAAAGGATTACCGTTTTCGTTCGTCATTGTAATTGATTTGACACTTGAGACCATGAGACTGACAATAGTCGCACTCTTGTTCTCCAGGACGAACGACACACTGTAGTCGGGAGTTAGGTCAAGACTTATCATACCAACATAGTAGTAGTGGATTGCCTTTGTCCTTCGAGCCCTGCATGCCGGACATGCAGCCGAAGCCCTGCTTCTTTTTTCTGTGGCTTTTGAGGAACTAGTCATATTCGAGGAGCTGTACAGATTGGGATTATTCCTCCAGAATACTGCAAGAGAAGTCGTTGGGACAAAGACTTGTTCGTGCGGGGGCTTCAGTGCAGAAGCTTGGTTGGCGACGATACTGTACTAAAGCCTCGGTTATTAAACAGGCCCTCGTTTCTTAACCACCAGAAGCTTCCTGGTGTGAAGATTGGGATTCTTGGTGAGAATGATCAATCGGCGAAGATGGGATATTTCCGATTCGTAACTCTTAGTTTCTTCCGGAAAGTTTCATTTCCCTTCTGCTTTGTCCGCTGACACAATTCACCAGCATTCAGGATCCATGACAACAATCAATTGCAACAAAGTCTGTATCCCTAGGGTTTGTTCTAGGAAAAAGAGGTATGCTCAATACGTCCCTTCCCACATCTTCTGGCATATCATGCCAATATGCAGTTCTCAGTGCGCACCCGTTAATGATGTCGGAGCAGATAGCTCTCGATTATGGGGACAATACGAACTAATGACTGGAGATTTTGGTGTCCTATTCGGTTCAGGGCCGACTCACTGGCCCAGGGAGCATTCGACTTCTCTCCGAAAAACATTCGACTCTGGGGCATAAATTGTCTACCAGGGACGACGTGAACAGCACAAGATGGGCTTTGATCCATGCAATACCGTTCGTGAAACAGGAGAGTCATGCCGATGATCCCAGCAGCAGTCGATCCTGCTCAACGGCTTCGTCGATGACTAGGATCAAGAAACTCCTGGTCTTCATGCCTTGTCGTATGAGATGATGAGTTCTCATAGTCCAAGATCTAGTCCGATTCGCCAAACCAACTAGCTACAAGGCTAGAAGCATTTATCCAATTAGGTGACACCTGTTGCTGGTTGTGACTCATAGTTGATATTAACACGGATCCAATACGGGATCTGACTGAGATGTCATTCATGGTCTCGTTCGCGGTCGTTCATTCTTCTAAAAGGATCCGAACCCACCATGGGAGCGAGGGCCATTTCCTGTTAGGAGCCTCAACACCATAGACGGACTGTGCTCAGGGAACTCTTTAAAAGCCCAAAACAGACCAGTGCTTCATCATACAATGTCAGTGTCTCCATGTTGCCTTAAGGGATTCGCGTGGGAGGGAACACCGGCTGGCCGCATCGAAAAGCTTGCCAATATTGATGTCTACGTCACTGGTGAATCTTCCGAAAGAGCGGTACTGATCGTTCATGATCTGCTGGGATGGACTTTCCCCAATGTACGGCTGCTAGCAGACCATTATGGAAGAGAGGCAGATGCAACAGTCTATGTCCCTGACTTCTTTGGAGGCGAGGTCCTTCCTTTCGAGGCTATCAATCAGGGACACTGGCACGAAATCGACCTGGCGGGTTTCATGAAGAACAACTCTCGTGACGCACGTCAGCCAGAGATATTTGAATTTGACAAGGCTCTTCGCGGAAAGTATCAAAAGGTCGGCGCAGTGGGGTTCTGCTACGGCGGCTGGGCCGTCTTTCGTTTGGGTGCAAAGGAGCATCAACCACCCCTTGTGGATTGTATCACGGCAGGTCATCCAAGCCTCTTGACAAAGAAGGACATTGATGAAGTTGCCGGACCAGTCCAGCTCTTGGCCCCAGAGTTCGACCCGGTCTTTACGGCTGAGTTAAAGACATACAGTTTCGAGACGATTCAGAAACTGGGCCTGCCACTCGACTACCAGTATTTCCCTGGAATGGAACACGCGTTCCTTGTTCGAGGAGACCCGGAGAAGGCTGGAGAACGGGACGCCATGGTGAGGGGAAAGAATGCCGCGGTTGCTTGGTTGAGACAATTCCTGCAGTGAATTGTGCCAGGAACTGGTAGAACAGGACCAACGTCAGTTGACGGGTTCACTCGAATAGCGCTGTTCGTACAATCCTCGAAGTGAGCCCCAATATAGGACGGAGGACGCGGGACGAGGGACGTTGGACGAAATTTCTAGCTTGTGGACTAAGTTAGTGCCGAATGCGTACTGAAGAAGCACTGATCTCGCAACAAGGACAATCGTTTTATAATCGCGGCCGTCTTATAAGGCACTGTCCTTGGCATCTTGGCTAGAATCACAAATTCACCACGACACAAGTCAATCACGTGACTCGGTGCATTCTTAGTCATCCGGAGGATCCTTCTGGCCAATTGATGACCGGCAGATCCACCAACCCTCCGAGTGGACAGTCCGTTCCACTTGAATCCCCTTCGTCAACCTTTCCATTTCCAACTTCATTTTGATCGCAGCACAATGCTTCTGTTCCTTTCATGGTTGCCTATCAGGACGCACTGAATTTGTGGAACTGGGTGATAAGATACACAAGTGACTTTGTCGCGCATTGCGCACATGGGAGCACCTTTTTACGGAATAGGGATTTTCCCCTTGAGTTTAAATCTCGAAGATGTCGGCAGCAACCTTGGTGCACAATGATGCGCCCAATTCTACCCTTTTCGATGGCTCAGGCAATCGACGTTCGGCATGCGATCGATGTCGAAGTCAAAAGATACGCTGCGAACGTGGCTCCGATCCATTCCAGTGCCGTCGTTGTGTGAAAGCCAATGTTGAATGTGTCACAGGTGTTGCTCTCAAGTCTGGTCGTCCACTGCAGCTGTATGGCACACAAATGTCGCAACCAAGTCTTGTTCAAGAGACTTATCAAGAATCCCCTGCAAACTTGAACAATCAGCAACCGTTGCCAGATTTTCCCACCCCGCCAGTGACCGCTTTTGACACACCTTTTGAAGCGAATCCCAATCCCAGCGACGGTGATATAGATATGCAACTCCTGGTCTCTCCTTTCGGGTTCAACTGTTTCGATGATATGTGGACGAACAATTTGGAGCGGCATACGACAGCTGCCAATTTAATTCAGCCCGCTACTGACCCCCGTACCAGTCAAAATGATGATCGACCTCCTCCTCCTTCCGCGTTGAATTTGCGCAACGAGTGTTGGAAGAAGCTGGCAGACCTGCATGTTCAGGTCCTTGGTGACCTGGAGATAGTGAAAGCGTGCACAACAGCCGACAAATGCACCACGTCGACTGCAAATCACGGGTCTGACCAGACGCACAATTTCCTTGTTGGCCGTATGCTAGACCATTCGGCAGCATTGCTTGATATCCTTAATTATTTTGAACCGGCCCCAACGGACACACCGCCCGTATCGAATGATGCTCGTTCGAGAATCACTCAAGCTTCCCCCAAAAGACCGCGCTGCGATGTCCCGACGATGTTTTCGCTTCTGTCATGCTACACCTGTCTTGTCCGCGTATACCGAACGATCTTCTCAAGTATCCAAGATTCAATGCCTGTTCTAATGAACTCGCCAAAACCAGTTCCTCAACTATTTCCTGGCATGAATCTTGGTGGCTTTCAACTCGAATCAAGAATTGATCTGCAAGTTCAGATACTGATTCAGGTCTCCGAGGATATGATGGCCAAAATCGAAGCCAAATTGGGTGTCGGCGACGATCCGGCCATCGTCAAAGGATGCATTTTCGACCGTGAAAGGGCATCAAAAATGCTCCGCATGATGCTGGAGGAAGAGGCTTGGGAGCAACCTCAATTGAACGAAACGCGAGGACACTGTGAGCCCTTGAGAAACATCCTGGCAAATCTCAAGGGCCTGAATCAGATGGAAGGGCGTCAGCGGTAACGGCTCAGTCTTATAGGGTAGTTTGAGACGAAAAAAGGATCGACATCCGATTCCGAGAAAGAACATCGGAGGGTTTCCACTCTTGGCTGGGAAGTTGTGAAGTCGCGTCTTCTTTTTTTTTAAAAAAAAAAAAAAAAAAACTTCAAGGCCAAGTTCCTTTTCCTATCAGCCTTCCACCAAGTCCCTACCGAACAAATTACTCTCACCATCCTAGCCATCAAGTCATCCCAAAACCAATGGCTGCGACACCTCCAGACAAGATAGGTCTCAGGATGATGTGGTGGTCACGCCTTCACCCACCAGCAGACCCACAAACATCTTTCTCGGGCAAGACGATCCTAATCACAGGCGCAAACGTGGGACTCGGATTTGAAGCCACCCTCAAGTTCGCCGCACTCGGTGCCACCCGTCTCATCCTGGGCGTGCGATCACTTCAACGCGGTGGAAAAGCCAAAGCCGAGATATGTCGACGAACCGGGTATCATCCGGGCAAGATACAGCTCTATCATCTTGACATGAGCAATTTCGCCTCAGTCAAGACATTCGCCGAGACGATCTCAAAGGAGGAACCTCGACTCGACGTCGCCGTTCTCAATGCGGGCATTGCCGCGGCGTCATATACGGTCAGCCCCGAAGGATACGAGATGTCACTCCAAATCAGTGTCCTATCCACCGCTCTGCTCGCCATCTTGCTCTTGCCGCAGCTGCGCAACTCAGCCACGCTGTCAGGAGCACCATCACACCTCGAACTCGTGGGCAGTGCTGCCCATCAGGATGTCAAAGCTGACGTCTTTGATTCTGCTGGAGGCGAACGAATTCTGGATCAAGTCAGCAAAGAATCATTCTTCGAAGCGACAAAACAATACTATGTCATTAAGCTCCTGCACATGTACGTTATGGGTGGCCTCGTGGAAGCCACCTCAACCTCAACATCGACGAATCACGACGACCCGAACGTCATCATCACCACAGTTTGTCCTGGTCTTTGTCGCACCAATCTCGGTCGCGACTTTTCGATTCTGGCCAGGATATTCGTTGGATTGTACCAGCTCATCTTGGCCCGTTCCGCTGAGGAAGGAAGCAGGACCTTGGTCAGTGGAGTCACCCTGGGAAAGGAAGCGCATGGAAAATTCTGGAGTCATGATGTGTTCTTTAGGTGAGTTCAATTCACTTATTTCACAGAGACTGGGATTGTGCTGACGTAACGGATAGGAAAGGAGAGCTTATCACGAATGCAGAGGGGAAAGCATTGCAAAACAAAGTTTGGGATGAGATTATGGAGGTCTTGAGGAAACAGGTTCCTCGTATAGATGAGGACTTGGTCCAGTGAAAGACGGGGCAGTGTGCAAATGACGGCCTCCAACGTCTGCCACCAGAAAGTGGTGGAAACCGCTCAATACGGCTGCTCTTCAATCTATCATTCGTGTACTCCTACAAATATATGCTTCCTTTCCATATGATATCCCGTGCTCTGGAACATACTGGTACTGGTACCAGTGTATATATCATACCGTAGACACTAGAAGATAGATGGATACCCCTAACATATTAGACCCGAGGTGATGCTGTCCATCCCATCACTGTGCTGCGAGTTGAAAACTCGCGTGGCACCAAGCACACGTACCGGGCCCTTGGCTTTATTGTCAAGCAGCGGTCTTGACGTAAAAACTAGGTGACGAAGCACCCCCGCAAAGCGTCTCTGGCTGGTTAAGATACGGCTCATGGCTGCTCATGATGCTCTTACGGTAATCGACAGCATCCCATGAATAACAGCCTGTAGCATCTGGATCTGAGAATCCGCACTCGCCGTCTTGTCGTTTATAGCGATGATGTAACGTTTTCGGCACCGAGATATGCCTAGTGCATCGGGGACGGTCTCTGCCGTGAAATCGTCGCAGCCAGTATATTTCTGCACCTGCTGGTTCGAGGTCGCTGAGTAGTAAGGACAACAGATGATGAGTTGGGGGTTCGTCTATTGTTCTAACAAACCATCGTAACATTAAAATCACTGGTCATAGTACTAGGACATAGTAACCGGTCACGAGAAAGATGTACTGCTAGGAGAGAAGCGGGGCAGAGATGGAGTAATTCAGGAACAAGGTAAGTAAGGTGGTAGACGCACCATTCTTTCTACAGTCAACCACAGGGAGAGGTAAGAGTACTGTGCCACCAGTGCGTTATCAGGGGAGTAAAAAAGCAGCAACGGAGACGACCTCGATGATGCCCTTCTCGTTGCCGATTCCCCTTTTTCTTGGCGCATATTAACCAAGAGAAGTCTGCTCCGCTCCAGGAATGTCTCGAGAGAGCGAGTCCTGGCCGCGAGTTTCGAACGACAGCGAGTGGCTCTGGAGCTGTCTAAGCAACAATTGAGCCTAGCTGTGTGAGCGTTGTCCGCAGGATGGAAAGGTACTTGGAAAACCCTAGTAAAGCCACACAATCGAGGTACCAAAATATCAAAATTGAGGCGCTCACATACCTTGGTCATTTGCGGGCTCTTTACCTCGTCGTCGCTCGATTCGCACTTTGCATAGACTTTCCTGGCGTTGTAGTGCCTATTTTGACTTTGAACCCCTCTTGTTGCTGCCGCCCGCCACTTCCTTCGTTGACGACGTCTGGCAAGCCCCTCTTGGGTGCGCTGAGTACCTCCAGACAACGCTCGCCCAACAAGGGCCAATTGGGTGTGCAGACAGTTCTAAACCCACTCTCTGTTGTCCAAATTTCTCTGCCAAGAGTCAGTCTCTCTCTCGAGACACTCCCGGAATTAAGCTCTGTAATTCTTTTTGAGGAGCCGTCATGCTATATGCCAAGAAATTGCCAGGAACAGAAATGAATTGTAGGTTATATTTTCTACGTACAGAAATTATTGTCAACAATTAGTCCAAAGGTCTTCGTGGCGCAGTGCGTAACTCGAATTCATTTGACTATGGATTGCAGCACTAACAACGAACAGATCGGTTAGCGGTAGGTTATACCATTTCCATTGGTTGACATAGCTAATGGAATAGCAGCGTCTGACGTAGGTACCATCTCAACTCTCTCAAACGTTCGAAATTGACAAAGAAACATTGTTAATCAGGAGGCTGGTGGTTCGAGCCCACCCGAGGACGATTAATTTTTTTCACTTTTTGTGTATCACAGGATACCAAGCCGTGCCAAGACGTAGGGTGCATAATATACGTCTCGCAGTCCACCCCTATCCGACTCCCAAGCTTAGGAAGTCAATATCGCTCTACACCTAGATAAGTACTTTTCTAAGCACTCTTTAGAGCCATTCGGCGAGCCGGCCTATGATATTGTGATTAAGGTATGTAGAAGCTAGGAATCTCTTTCAGTGATGATTTGTGGATGACAAGAACTTGTCACCAATGATTTTCGACTCTGGTAGTAATTGTCCGATACGACAGTAGTAGGTGTTGGAATTCTTGTCCTATTTCGAAGGGGTCCAGGGGACCGTCAGACTATATACTTTCGAAGCATGTACGAAGCGTACAACGCTTCCGCAGGTCTTTACAGGCCTTGGCGTCGCCACATATTACCAGATATTTGATATGCTGATATGCTGAAATACGATACGGGGGCCATATCGTTATATCAACATATCATATATCATTACCACTTTCGGTAATGGCCTTTTGTCTATATAGTCGTGGCCTCAACCCTCATAGTCCTACGTAGTCAACTTCGTTCATTATCACACCCCTACCATTAGATACATCGACTCGCTCTGTATCTACTGCTCCTTAGCCTTATACTCATAGTCCCTGACCTCCAACCCACGTGACACCCTCACGGTGTGATCCTCGAGACAATTGCCGGGCAGGAAGGCCGGGGGCAGAGAAGCAGGATACACACTTCCTTCCTTTTCTTCTGGTAAATAAGGACTGTGCAATTCAAGTCTCTGTGCGTTATTCTATAAAATCTGTTCTGTATATGGTTAATAGCCTTTTCGTTTCGTTGCGTGGCTTGTATTTATCGCAATTATGGGAGCTCTTCAGGATTCGCGCTTCACAACACCAGAATTTTATCAATTCAGCTCCGATGAAGATGATTTCAAGAGTGCTAGGGAATCTCTATCGCCTGTGAGCGATGTATCTGAAAACTGGACTGGTTTCTCTCCTGAAACCGCCGAAAACCCGATTGATGTCGAAGACGACGTATCTGTATCGTGTCCATCCTCTTACGGTGTATCCGACGACGAATCCGACATCCCTACCCCCAGAACACGTAATTCAAATGGCGAAAAGTATAAATGGGACTCTCTGGACTTAGCATTCGAGGCACTCCAGGAGTTTGCGGAAGAGAATGGTTTTGCTGTGAAAAAGCACAGTCGCAAGTTACGTGATGGTAGAGTGGTCGTACAATATATAAACTGTGTCCGTGGGGGTCAACGCAACACCACTAAAGTGTCATCGCCAAACCGAAAACGACGATCTAAGAGTGTGATTCTCGATAAACCGTGTCCTTTTCGAGTTTGTCGAAAGAGGAGAAGGAGACGCGTCACTGGAACCTCGAAACTCTGAATGGAATACACAATCATGTCGCCGTGGAGCGACCAACTGTCTTCCCGGTACACCGAAGAAATGCAAGAAAGAATAACCCTCGTTTGGTTCAACAAATTCACGCGGATGCAGAAGCTTTGATAGATACCAAGAGATCATGGTATTCGATTAGGAGAACTTTCCCTGAGGCCACGATTACGATGAAAGATGTGAACAATCAACGCCTCAAGTACGCTACACTACTAGACGGAGGTCTTTCTTCCATTCAGGCATTAATCCGAGACCTCGATGGCTCATTTTCGCATCAGGAAGTCATCGACGAGCATAACCACTTAGTACATATCGTATTATCTCAACATTCTTCGTTATAACTCCTCCGAAGATGGCCATACGCTTTGGCAACTGATTGTATATACAAGACTAACCGCCACGGGCTCTATCTCTATCAGATTGTAGGTGTTACGGCTCTTAACACCTCTTTTATCGTCAGTCAGGCGTTTCTATCCTCTAAGGACACAGAAGCTTATTTATTCGTTCTACGATGGCTTCGTGATTTCTACATAAAGATGGATTTACCTCTACCAGCATCAATTACCACAGACAGAGCCAAAGGCCTCTTCGCGGCGCTTCAAGTGGTGTGGCCGGAGGTCAAGCATCTCTTGTGTATTTGGCATATCAACAACGACACCTATATCAAGTACGAGTGAGCCGGAGCCGTCTCCCTCAAAAAGACCTGCTTTAACACACCACCCAGCCTCTGTTGAGACGATCCTGACGCCTCTAGACGACTTAGTGCCTCCTCCGTTGTATCTCATCTCTATGGGGGATGACATCGAACTTGGAGGCTTTCGCATGGCTTCGGAACTCGTGAATTGGGAGCAATATCACGGACTTAGGGGCGCCTCGTTCGCTCGCCAGGAGAAGAATGAAATGGCGTGGTGTCCGGACCCTCAGGCCTTTAAACACCGTCCTAAAGAGGATTACGAATGGTCAAGCGACGAGGAGGACTTCTTCGCCGACTTATGGGACGACAGGATTGTGAGTGAATCGGCGCGGAGCGATTTACTAGCCATTCGCAGAAGCATTGTGATGAATCAACTATAGCTTCAGAATAAGCGGCGACAACGCCCTACGATTGATCCACGACTTCTAAGTGTGGATCCTCCTACTAACCACCAACTTGAGGAAGCATTTGGGGGCGCCAACGAGCCTCAGGAGAGTTCACGAAAGTCTCAGAGACAGCGTAGGCGGAAGAGACACGTCGATGAAGTAGATGATGGTATTTGATGCCGATTCATGGCAGGTGGCCTTTTGTAGCTTGCGCCCCGCTCAGATAGATTCAATCAATCCTTTCTCTCTCGGCCCTACAGAGGGTGACCAATCGAGCTTGTCAGCGTGGTCCGTAGACTGGATCCGATGGGCGACGGGGGACTTCATTGAATCCAATGCGTGGATCATGTTAAGTATGATCAATCGACCTTGTCAGGGTGGTCTATAGACTGGATCCGATGGGCGACGAGGGATTTCATCGGATCCAATTCATGGACCATCTCGAGTGCGATCAGTAGAGCCTGTCTAGGTGGTCCACAGACTGGATCCGATGAAATACCACGACCCATCGGATCCAATCCATGGATCATCTCGACGTCGAGGCTTGCCCCGTTCACGCTCGGTTACGAACCATCTCGAGTGTGATTAATAGAGCTTCTCTAGGTAGTCCACGGACTGGATCCGCCGATACCTTATCATAAGAGATACTCGATAGGCTTTGTCGATTTTGTCGAAAACCACCCTGCCTCTCGCCATCGAGTTTAAGTGTAGCCCAGTCGAGGGTAGAGGGATCCTTATTAGGTAAAATGAGTTTGGGAAGGACAAGCGTTGAGAGCTTGGGAGCTAAAGAGCAGCAGGGCGTTGACGCTGCAGTGAGCAGAATAAGTCACGTTCCAACGAAAATCTAAGCCGCAACCACCAAGTAGAAGGAGAACATGTCGCGAGTGAGAGACAGGGTATTTTGTGTCCAGGAGGGCAGGCTGCTCTTCCATCGGGCACTCGAACGAAGTAGGCGGAAATCCATCGTTGCCCCTCAAGAGAGTAAGCAACACAGGAGGAGCCCAACCGAGCAGTCCGGGCGGATTGGAAAGGGAGGCCGGATTAGGATCCTCCAGCGTCCCAAATGGATCCCGTCGTCTAAAGTTGACCAGAGTTGATGTTTTAAATGAAGAGTAACGTCAAGACTCAGGGAGCGGAAGGGTGAGCCGGTTTTTCGCGCACTACCAAGGTATGAGACTTTGTTCGAGCGCGGGGTTGAAGGCCTCAATGCAACTGCGAATGGTGATACGACCATGGCGAGGGCATGGAGGGTCTTGTCCTTGGCCCCATCGGTCTAGGTCATCCATATTTTGATAGCCAAGCGCCTCACGGCATCCGCGGGAGAATTTCTCATGGCACTCCACGAAGAGAAAGACATTAGACGGATTATGGGACAACCGCATCACCGCGGAGCTTTGATAGAGGACATATAACGAAGGATGGCATAGGGGATGGGAATAGACATTAGAAACACCGGAATCGAACGTTCGCCGGGCTGAATGGACCTGATCTTTGGCCCAAAGGTCCTGAACGAGTTGTTAGGTCACCAGGATCACCTCAGTCTGTGCTACCATACGGTCAAGTCTCTTACGCCACGGTCGATCGCAATCCTGCACACTTCCCAAATAACTGCCAGAGTGTTCGACGAGGGTTCCATGTTCACGGGTGGAAGGAAGATCTAAGTGTCTGCTTGTCTGAAAAAAATGCGGACAGTTAGAGAAAGCCCACTGGCACTGTCAAACTGGTTGCAACTCGAGATGTATTGAATGCTCTGCGCTCCTCAAATGAGTGCGGGATAAAGCCCATCTATATATCTATCTACGAGTTGTACGCTGGCGTCGTTGCCTGTTAATGGTGTTGCACGCCGGGAGGTGTATGTTACAGAATGGGTTGGCTTGCCATAATCGATAGGTTACCATTCGTTCAACGGGCACCTTCAGGACTTACTATATTCCGACCAGAAACGAACCTCGCCTCTTTTGTTTTATTATAATTTACGGGGCTGGTGGCCTATCGAGATCAGCTACTAACCATTCGCGAGGCAGTCTCCGAAAAGGCATCGTACACTGATCTAGATATGATTATATCAAAATATCGTTCGGCCAATTACGCTTGCGTCCCAAAATGTGGCTATGCGGAACGAATTTGATCTGAATTAGTTCTTGTCTGAATCCTCGGCAGTGCTGGATGCACAACTGGGATTACCCCAGAATTCTCGAGCTCGGCAGGCCTCCCACCTGAAGTTCTGCTGGACAACGATAGCAGACCGCCATTTCAATCGACAAGATACTGACCAGTGGGACGACTATGTTCATGTAAGTAAGATTCCGCGAATATCTCACAGACTTCTTCAAGGCAGATTGAATAGTCTTGTAATGATTTTGATTTCAACAATGGGGAAAATCCAGGACTAGCGTCTCCACCAGGAAATGTCGTCGATTTCTCTGAACCATTCAAGCTTTCAGTAAGCTTGTCGGTCTCTATTTTAAGCCTGCAGGCCCCAACCTTAAGCTTCGGCCCCAGATATTTGCCTTCAAGGTTACGTTGATGGACATGTTTCAACACCAGCAGGGACTAAAATGGGCCTCAACTTCTTCCCTGGACACTGGGATCCTACGAAACTCTGTCCCGAGCGTTGACGCAGTGCAATCACCAACCTTCCACATCTTCATGCCTTTACCATGTGTCGCCAGCCGAATATGCTGTTCTCAGCAATACTAGCATGTCTCTGGCTTTCCTTGGGATCAGTACACGCTGCTGCCTCCCCTCTGGTTCTGGATCTGGTTGCAGAGCACCGAACAAGATGGAACCACAACTCACGTCTTGCTCGGCGCAGAAGCGGTCCCGTCGCCGTTGACATCGACGGCACCGCAGTCTCCTACTATGCGAATGGTTCGCTTGGAACACCTCCGCAGGACATCCGATTCATTGTCGACACCAATTCAGCAGATCTTCTTGCTCTTGCACGGGCAAATCCAGCTTGCGATGGAGGCGCGTGCTCATATGGCGGCACGTACAAACCAAACTCGTCAAGCACCTACAATTATGTGACAAGTAATTTCTCGATCACGTTCGAAGATGGGTCCACTTCTCGGGGGGACTATGCGACTGATAAATTTACGATTGGAGGCACCGAAATAGATAAAATGAAATTCGCGATTGGATATGATGGAAATTTGACCGGTGAGAAACAAAGTCGTTGCATGCCGAGAACAGGATAACTAAAAGAAATGAAGATCCCATCCTAGGCATTGGCTACATTGGACTGGAACAAAGCAAGTCATCCTATGCCAATCTCCCTGTTCGCATGTTCAACAAGGGTCTTTCCAACATCGTTGGCTATAGCCTATGGTTTCAGAGACCGTCAAAATCAAGTTCTTCCACAGCACGGCTCGTTTTCGGTGGGATTGACACAAATCAATTCTACGGCACCCTGGAAACGATTCCTATCGATATGAAGCAACTTCAATATCAGTACGTCACGGTTCAGCTCTCTGGCCTTGCCGTGACAACGGGCAATCAAACCACGAATATTACAAACTCTCCCAGAGACATTGTCCTGGACTCTGGCACTACATCTCTTGTCCTTCGCTCCAAACAAGTGTCCAAGATTGGAGATTTGATCGGTGCAATCAATGACACCTCCATTGGCGGTTATTACGTTAAAAAATACGCTGAGCTTGATAATAGTACGGTTGTCAATCTGAGATTCGGCGCAACAAACATATCTGTCCCACTCCCGGATCTTGTCCTGGCCTACAATGACACGTGGGCACTTCTTGATGTGTTCGCGTCTCCAGATCCTTCAGGCATCGAAATCCTCGGCTTACCATTTTTCCGCAACGCCTACACGGTATTTGACTACTCGCACAACCAGGTATCTCTAGCACCACTTGTTCATGGAAATACAGCGTCCAATGTCACGATGATAAATCAAAATGGCGTTGCTGGTCTGACAGGAGTTTCCTTGTCTGATAATTCCAGCGGTGGCGATGGCCTTTCGACCGGGGCCAAGGCCGGAATAGGAGTCGGCGTTGCACTTGGTGTTCTACTGATCCTGGGCTTGATCTTATTCTTTTCCTTCCGCCATCGTCGATCCAAACGCAAGGCTGCTGCGAAAGACGACAACCCCAACGGGATGGGTAAAGCCGAACTCCCCGCGGCCGAGAACGAAAGACCGCTCGCCGAAGAGTATGGTTCCAATCTACCACATCAACCCGGTGGCGAATTGTCTGGTTCTGTACAACCGCCACCAGCTGAGCTGTACCCTGGCCTGGGCAATTCTGGAAAAGATGGTCAACATTTCGAACCGCAGGAATTACTGGGTGATGTGCCCAGACCTCAGGAGTTGGCTACGGAACATAATCTGTCAGGTGCTGGAGAACAGCGCGGTGTAACGGACAGCGCAGTGTCTGATTTGAGCGGAGCGACACCTAGTCGAGTGGCGGAATAGATCGTGATGTGAAAATCTATACTATACTTGAATATTATGTACAGGGATACATTGATATATATGTACACCAAGCCTTCGAGGAGTGGAAACCCCACGGAGAGCATTGATTGACTTCCAACTCCGAGATTTTTCAGTTCCAAGTCCCAGGGAAACTTGGCCCTCGAAGCACTGTACAATCAACCATTTCGTCAGATACCACCGACAACCTTTCTAGACTCTTTTTGGATATTGATATTCTGCGACCGACGAATCACAGGCTGAACTTTCATTGACCAATGTATTTCTCTCCTCCTTCTCTTTCTCAACACCCGGCAATTTGCCACACACTTCGGATGTCTTTCGAGTAGGGGTTGACTCGGAGGAATGCCCGGAACTGAAGGGGATTCTCTTGCGAGGAAAAGCAATATCCTGCCATGTTCGCTCTATCCATATGTAGGCCCCTCCCTCTAGATCTTGTGTGGAGTCCATGATTTCTGACTCTTCCCCTACCCCCGATAGAGTCAAGCAGTTTCTTTCCGCGAAGGTGACATCCAACCGATGCTTGATCACAACAGCAAAATACTTTTGCTTATCCCCAAGCAATCGGCGTATCAGATTTCTTTGAGGTCAAAGCGCATCCATGCCCATCCACCGACGCAGCTCTGAGTTCCCCAGCCAAATGCTCGGACACCCTTCCTATGGTAGCACGGTGAATTGGGATCGGTCTCGGCCTTAGCTATTCGGGCAATATGGTAGAGGAACTAACACTGCCTGGAGGCATATGTCTGATGTTCGTTTGCTCCATGGGACGTCATCTCTGTCCTACCCACTTTGGATTGCACATTCTAAGGGCCTCTTTGAGAACGGCGTTGAGATATGGGAGCTGTTTCAGAGCTTGCAATGTCTCTGGAGGAGGTTTGTTGACGACTCCCGTAAGTGCTGTGGCCGTAGTTTCGCTTGCAGCGTTTAATATGACGTCGTCTGGAGTCAAGCCTTCTTCTCGATCTTCGCTCCGGAGTAGCTTTGATACAATGCCTGTTCGATCGATAGCAGAACTGGGTGAAAGTCGACGTTTCAGTTTTTGCCGCGGCGCGTTGGCGGTAGTCCATTTGTTGCTTGATGATTTCTTTCAGGATAAGGAATCCTGCTAGAGGTTGATCGGGATAAGTTTGATGGATAGATAATGAAGCTTGATAGCCGCGGCCATTTGAGCCATCCAGTCCTCATATTCGCACTTCTCGAGGCAACTAAATGACTCCCCAAAAGAAAATCGCCGATAAATATCAAACCAAATTTAACGATGTTGACAGTGGTTGGCCGAAGATCGTTCACGTAGTTTGTTGATGCAAAGACTGACGTATTCTTGAAAAAGATTGCTGTAAAACAGCTCTCTCGCTGAACGCAGGGTTCTTTCAAGATGGGCTCCCGACCCGATGCTCCAGCTTATGCATGCCTCATCATTCTGACCACGACTGCAGTCGAACTCACGTCGCATTATGAAGGCGCCCTTGCCGTAAGCGTCATCGCCCCACAGTATATCCGTTTTTCTTTTTGCCAAAATCCGGAGATTTAAATGTAAAAGGTCGAGGATGAAACGTGCTCAGATTGCTTCCAGCGGGAGGCCTTGCGGCACCTCCCACAGCCGCAGTTTAATATCTGCCGGGATTCTCTCCTTTTGTGCGGAAGATATTCTCACCTAATTACGCTGGCCCAGCCGAAGCCATTGTTTCCTTTATTTTCGTGAATCTGTGACCCCATTATTGGGCATGGCGGATCACAATGGGAATAAGAACAGATTCAGATCATCTGAGGTCAAATCGGATCGAGCGCCTAAGTCGCCAGGCACGAACACTGGTCCCCATTCAGGATAGAAATAAAACGCGGTACAGAAATTTCCCGATTGCGTTTAAACCATTCTATTGCTATTCATGGTGGAGTACGACTTGCTCCTTCGAAAGATGTATATTTCGGGCTGCAACTTGAACATGAGAAGGTTGTTGCCTAGCGCAACCCACCTAAGGACCCAAAAGTGAAGATTTCAGACTACTTCAACGCCACACAGAAAACTAGTACTGGCAGCATTTATTATGTATAACTTAATACTAGCAAGGCATATCATGATAAATCATCCCTCGTTTCAAAATTTCGTCCACCATCCCCATCCTACATACAAAAAAATTTGAAAACGAGGTAAGTTTCAAGTCCATGGCAGATCCCAAACTTTGAGCTGGTCCGGGTGTAAAAATATTGAATCAATCTGTACTTGATTCCCGTTCTTCGAATTGTTCTTCTTCGTCTTCTTCAAAGATTGCGGGATCTGGAATAATTCGTCCCTGCTCGTCGACACCTGGCTGTACGTCCTGTGGATCCTGACGATGTATACTTCTTCCCGTAAGCGCAAGCCTTGCAGTATCATCATCCTCTAGTCGAATGTCCGGTAAAGCGAGCGCAGCGAGCGACCCTGGCCGAAATTGATCTCTCAATCGCTGGATTCTGCGAATCAAATCCCTTGCTAGAGCACCCATATCTTCCAACTCTTGAATATCGTCAGGATTTCCTCTTGTTGGAGCATCCAATTCCGAGGTGGACGCACCCATATTGGGTGCATGACCCATTCCCGAGAACTGCATATTGAGACTCGAAAAAAACTCAACCAAGCCATCGATTGCTTCGTCGGAACCCATCCTCCTCTCTTCAAGAGGTTTGCGAATTTTATCTTTCCTCTTCTTCAATTTCTTAAGGGAGTGTGAAAGAGATTGAGAATTGAGAAACGCCTCCGACTTCCTCTTGCATTTTCCTGACAGCATTCTGTCCCATCGACAATTTGGACAGAAAAAGTATGGGGTTTCGGAAGCCGCATTGACAGGATTTCCTTGGGTGGTGGATACTATGTTTGATGACACAGTTACGAGATCACCATCGCTTTGTGGATTTCGACATCCTTTGCAGGGACAGGGGGGATCCATAGCATCTGCACAGTCACCGCAAACTTGGACCTTGCATTCCACACATTGTCTCATGACCGCTGTACATCGTCTCCTGTGGTCGGTGGGGGAACGTGTCATCGGACAGAAGAAGGCTTGACAGCCTCGCCATTTGGGTATGGGTGATTCGTGCGATCGATTTGGAGCAGAGTTTGGTTCGGGGGTTGGTGGAATTGAATGTGTCGATGGTGTAGGAGATGTCGATCTGGACAGAGGACCGGTGCTGTTGGAAGCAGGTGACAATGGTCGATTCATGTTGGGTAGATCATCATCCGCCCTAGGAGTTCGCAAAGTCCTTAAAAACTGGCCAAACTCCGCGTTCAATGAAGCCGCTTCACGCACAGAACGTTCGTAGCTTTCAGACGGTGTCAGTGCGGGAAATGGATTCGAGGATGGGCCTTCGCCGAGAGCGGATAGTCTTTCACGAGATTTCGGACTGTCGGTAGGAGTGGCGCTTCCTCCTTCCACCAGATTACCTCCATCAATGTGTTGCTTCGATGGGAGCTTTTCTTTTCGATGCCGCATCAGCGTGGCCAGAAGCTTCAGAGCCTTTTGTCGAGACTTGTAACCTTGTTTCTCCAGGAGGAGGTCTTTGTATCCACAAATCCGGGCCTTGACCCGATCACCGATGTCGTGTTTGAGACATAGTGGTGTTGAACAAGCCTTACATTCGAGTTTCCAATGTTCGGCACTGTAACATTCATCACATAGAATTCTCGGCACGGAGACTGGAGAATGTTCCCCTGGACTCAGAGATCCCACCGTTTGGAACAGATCGTCAATGGAAGACCAACGACCTCCGGGGCCTTCGTGGGCATTACCTTGCGAGGATGATCCGGGAATTGGATTGTCGAGGGTTTCGAAATCAGGTCGATCAGGATTGAATTCAGGATCTTCCCATCCGTGTCCAGACCGAAGTGGTGCGGCACGGATGCAGTCGTTGTCTCGATTTGAACCGTTCCCAAAAGAAATTCCCCCCCCCCCGGAGAACACCGGTTCGGTACAGCACCATTTGAATTTGATGTTGGGAAGAACATTGGCACTGAGATTTGGATTGCCGTCGACCACTCCATTATTGGGAGGCAAATCCTGATCTTGCATGGAGCACGGAGATACAGCACAACCAGGCGCCCACCAAAATTTGTTCCTCTCTTCTTCCGGCGCATGCTTATTCCGTAAATAGGGCCGGTCGAATGCGCAACTGGCACATAGAGTTTTTCTGCATCCTGTGCAGTGCATCATTATGGAGCATTGTTCGCATCGCTCGAGGATTTCTTCAGAACAGTTGTGACAAGTGATGTTTTCGACAAATTGTGTGTGGGATTTCCGAAGGTGGTTTGGTACTGCTTTGGATTCGCGTCCTGTTCCAACGGGTTCACCGTTGATGGCTTCTTCATCAAATTCCCAAGCTCGGCAGTCCCTTTTTCGTTTTCGAACGAGCGAGTCGGATTTCGACTGTTCGGCGGGACCGAGCCAATTTCGACTTCGCCACAGGCGGTCATAAACCACCCACACCTCCCTTGGGTCTTGTGGCATTCGCATTTTGACGTATCCTCGTCGACGATAACAACGTGCTCCAGGCGTGGTACACCAAGCTGTATCGGTCCAAATTCCGAGTTTGTGGCATGTAAGAACCAATTCATGGGTAGGTTCGCTATCACTTTCCTTGCGGGCCAAACTACTGGGTAAATACGGTCTCCTCCTATGGTGCCGACACCGGTATGTGTACAAGCTCTTCAATGCAAGTGATTCGAAACCGGGTGGACCGCCAGCGGCCGGGGATTCTCGTGCCAACGCATGCATTTGGAGCCATGGATTGATATGGTATTTCAAAGAGACATTTTTGCACCCTCGGACCGACACATGGAGAAGAGTGTCTCTCCTCAGAATCAGAACGGTAGAAGTCAACGTGGCCCCACTGACGGCGGTGTTGTCTAATTCGAGGCTGACCAGTCTTGTGCTGAAAGGATTTATCACATTAAGAAGGATCTGATCGAGAGCATAATTACTTGATTGGCGCTGCGTCTGGCCCGAGTTGTGGGTGGTGGCAATTAAAGAGAAGGGTGCGGCTTGGTATAGCCGCCATGATATGTACCGCCACGAGGTGGGAGATCTGGAGAAGAAATCTCGCAGATAGGATGAGGTTTGGTAGAGTCGGAAAATGGTCTCAGTCGGTACTTGGGCTAGTAGAGATTCAAGGATAGGCGGATTGCAGGTGATTAAGAGCTCGAAGGGACTAGGGTTTGTTCGAGTAGGCACCGGTGTGTCCATACTGAGTAATGCGTTGGAATTGGTGTTTTTGGCCAGGACGGTGAGAATATCGAAGACCGCGTACACATATTTTTTGGGGCTTCAAGAGGTCGAGCGGATGGTGCGATGGAAGATTTGGAAAGAGAGAGTAGTGATGGCCATGGAACAGACGTATTTTCTTGAGAAGGCTGCCTTGATGTTCGCTGTACAAGTGTCATCGCCAAAAAAAAAAAAACCCCAAGGCAGACTGATTTGTAGAAAGGCGCAGGCCGGTCATGTGACGAGCGGCCCAATCGAACGGCGGCAGCCTTGCACCGTACTAGTAATCTAAGCTCCAGGAATGCATCGGGTTTCGGGGCACCGGTCAGAAAAAAGAACCAATACTTTGATTGAAATATCGATACATTCGGAAAGATGGTCCAAAAGCAACACACCAGGGGACCGTCGCCCAATGCCCCTTTGCCTCCTTTTACGTAGCGCCCGAATTGCTTCTGCTCAAATATCTCGGCCTTGGATGCAGCTCTCTATATTCTCAGATCATGACATTAATATTGTGTTCCTCAAATTTAAACCATCCCATCCCATCCTATCTCCCCTTTCTTTTTCTTTTTTTAATGCGCCAACAGATGACACCGACTCCTAGGAACCAAGTGCCGCTAACCTTGCGATCTTACCTTTCAGACCAATGGAAGGCCCACCGATTTCGCAGGATATGCTAATAATCTCCTGATTCTTTCGTCTTGATCATACATCAGAAATGTGATGATGGCAATACATTCCGTCCTGCTTCTTCCACTTATCCACCATTGTTGAATCTCACTCATTCTAGCCAGCCAGTGAGCTAGAATGATCAGTGCCCGCTTCTCACGTATTCGCAAGAGATTGTAGAATCTGTCGTCGATCACCCCCACGAATGTGATTAGTTTGTTAAAGATATTCATGCTTGGCCGCAACAGGCGCAAGAAGAGCAAGTATTCCAGAGGCGTGTAAAAGGGGTTCTCTTCGCGTGACGTTTCCTTGGTCACCTCACATAGTTCAAGAAACAATGCATGCTCTTCATCTCCTTCCGGAACGTCTAAGAAAAGTGGTGCGACTGGTTTCAAGTCTGAATCCCTCAACACCGGGCTCCAAATCGACTCCCATAGAGTCTCTCCCAACTCCAACCACAAGGCTTGGAATCCATGTTGGATGGTCAGCCATTTCATATACTCGTCTCTTTTCTCTGACGGTGCGTATACAAAACTTTTGCTGGGATCTGGCATGGGATCGGCAAGCATGAACTGGTGGACGCAGATCAGCATAATCGTGGAAAGAAGAGCGTCCATGTTCTGCTTGTTGGCACCAGAAGCGATTTCGTTGCGAAATAGTCGCAAGGCTTTTTGCCAGTGATATGCGTCCGCCAGCTTGTTCTGTTTGTGTTGGATAGGGTGTTGAGCGGCAGGAAGAAGATGACAAAGATGAGCCGCCGAGATTCCGTTAATAGCGTGCATCAGATATGGCTTTTCCAGGACGATATTGTACATGCTGTACCGAATGATCTGTTGCCCCATGTCTGATCCCATAGAGCAATAGGTAACCGTATCGAAATGATGGAGAGTTTGAAAAATCGGTGTCATCCGGTCTGGTAGCTCGTCTGTGCAAGGGAATATCGGATTAAGTCCTGGGCGGAGAGGAGTCAACGACCTCATATGGTTGATCTTGACGAGAGCGCCGGCAGACGAATCATTTGATCCACTAGACAGAAGACCGTGTTCCTCACCTCTAGGCAAAATAAGGTTACCCTTGATGGACAATTGGTCTCTGTTGTAGTCACAGTCCAGGCCGTGGCTTTGGCACTTCAGGCATCCGCCATCCTTGTTTTCGTCACACTAGCCACTTCATTAGGTCCGCTCCAGCCTTGCCAACACCCCTCAAGGTGGCACTTACCTTGATTCGGCGCTGCTTACACGTCTTGCACCCCGTACGCGACTTTTTGTGGGACTTTCTGGCATGAAAGGCGGTCTTGGTGGTGGGCGATATACCAAGATCTCGAGGAGCCGACTTTAGTGGAACTCTGAAGACGGTCTGCATGAGTTTCTGGTGGTCGATCTCGGCATGCTGCATGTTAGCGGCCCAGTGATTCCGTGGCATGGCCTAGTGGCAATTTTGTGACGAGAGATCGTTTGTGAGGTGCGGGAGAAAATTAGGAGTCGGGAAAGAGGAGGGGAGGAGGAGAAGCGATATTTGCCCTTCTAGACATTAGGCTGCCACATTAGGATGCTAGCTCGCAATATCGATGACTCGACCATTGAGATACGGATGATCGTTTTGAGATCGAGTCTAAATGTGGGAAAGTGTCGTATCCGGGTACAAGTTCTCTACAAATTTCCGCACCCTGATTCGCAGATGCGGATTGACTTTCCACCTTGAGATTGGCAGAATCGGCCTGACCGGGAGGCTTTGTGAAGCAATATCTATAGCACAGTGTTAATAAATGCGTCTCATTCTCCTGTCCGCAGCTGTACATCTAAGTATGCCTGTCCGAATCTCCCTAATGCTACCCAAATGCTGCGTATGCGAGATGCAAAGCCTGTCACCGCAAATCCAATGCCGTATCTCATGCTGCATCCAAAAGCTCTCTCCCCTCTAACCTTAAAAAAGAAAAAAAAAAGATGTGGCTAGAGAACCTTCATCCCAAACAACAGCCGTCACTGGCTCTTCTTCTAAACGCCCCTTGGAAAAACTCCATCATGGCGGTATAGTGAAATAAGATACCTGCCACAACTGCAATGTGCCAAATGTTGTGACTGCCTCCAACATAGTCGAATAGGCCGGGCCACCATTTTTCGGGCACTCGACTTGCATAGATTACGGCTCCCGTGAAATAAACCATCAGACTCTTGGTCACTGGGGCATAGAAATAAAAGGTCCAAGCGGCTCCTCGAGTATAATTCAACTGCAACACGGGGGCAAATCCGGTCACGGCAAGCGTGACATAGAATGCCACACGAGCCCACGCCATGTCGGCCCGATTAAAGCTTTCCCGCCACGGCAGAATGACTCCAGCTATCCCGAGAATCGTGGTCAAGGTCATATAGATGGCGCGCGACACGGGCTCGCAATAGAATGCGGTCCATTCCGTGCTCAGAATACTGGCCGCGACCAGAAATGAAATCCCGGTATAGTCGACACAAGCAAATCGGTCGAGCAAGCATTTATCGGCTATGCTGTTCATCGTGTGCCACATGGTGGAGCAGATCAGGCATTTGCAAGCCGCGACAAAGAAACATGCTGCGACCAGAACGTCCCACTTGCTTGACAGGGGAAATGTGGGTGACGAAGGATAGTAGTAAAAGGCGACAGCGAGAACGATCACCAAACCAATACCATGTGACCAAATATTGACCAACTCGTTCGAAGGTCGAAACATGGAAGTGACGCATTCGATTTTGGTTTTGTTGAATCGATAGCCGCGGATAATGTGTGGATTGTTTCTCCAGGGAATCGGCAGATCTTCGTAACGTATTAGCCGTGTTTCGGCCGCACGGCTCAAAGCATGGGAAATGGATTCGGCAAGCAAGTCTTTTGCGCGAAGAGCTTTGTCAAAGCCTTCTTCCAGCATCTCTCGCGTCGCATTGAGGGAATCGTCCATTTTTCTCCAACCCGAGTCGAGCAGTTGCTTCTTCCGGGCGTGAGCCCGAGATTCCAGTTCTGCCAGAAATGACTCCATCAATCGCATGCCCACCTGGGCCCGGTGTTCCAGCGTCTCTCGAGTCGGCAAGAGGTCATGGTACCGCGTCTCCAAGGTTTCAACCAGGATACAGGCACGTTGACGAGCTGCACCCCAGAGAAGCTCACCCGAGTGATACGGTGAACATGAGTCTCGCACATCCTTCAAAGCATGGTAGGCGCGCTCTAATTGGGCATCGAAATGAGGAAGACTTTCTTGCCGATATTTTTCCAACCTGTCCAACCTGCTCTTCAGCTCGGTAAGGAACAATTCAACCCTCACAAAAACAGCGTCGGCATTGCAGATACTTGACTGCCGGCGTCTCGAAGTATTGTAGGAATGTCGTCGACCTCGAGGAAGTAATTGGGTGCGCTCATCGTCACGCGACGTACTGGAGGCTCGGCTGGACGAAGGGGATTCGATGGTGACCGTAGCCACCGTGCAAGACATGTCGCTATTGCGACTTCATGCGGACAACTTCGGGGTACGCAGGTCGGGTCACAAATCTCGGGGCCTTGGTAGGAGCCTCTTCCAGGTCCAGCGGAAGATGAGTAGAAATGGCACAGGTGACGTGTCGCAGTGAAAAGGAAGGACAAATTCGGCGAAAATAAAGAGCTCAGTTGGTAGAATATAAAAATCGAGGGGAATGAGACAGTAAGGACTGACTGGTGTATTAGGGATTGACTTACTACTGCGTATTTAAGGTGGGGTTGGAGGAAGTGGCGGTTGACAAAGTATGAGAATGAGATGTGAGAATCAGAGCACAGAGCAGGCCGACGGTCATTTGACGGCTTGCCGTACATAAATTAAGCGCAACTTGCTTAAAATATCGTTTAAATGACCAGAAGCCCCAGGATTTGGTCAAGGCTGGGCACTGACCACAATCACAAGGAAGTCAGCTCTCTTTCACATGCGATCCTCTTCAGGTCCAATTGGTTGTAATCCTCTCTGATGAAATGCTCTGCTTGGGCGAATTTATGTGGTCTTGCATTGGGTGACCACCAATATATGACTCCTAAGGGCGAAAAAATCCGACGGCGTCATTTCTTTTTCTGGTCTTAGCGACATAGGGTACCTGAGGTAGGGGTTCAATCCTCGAAGCCATCCGCCTCACGCGTCCCAGCGTCATGTCGGATTGGCTCAGCAACGAGCACTAGAGAGTCGTATCTGACATCCCCCTGCAGGATAAAGCCTTCCGACAGATCTTTGTTGTTGGCAGCATCTTGATACGCTCGAGATGGACAACTAGTGGTCTTGCCCAGTCGCTTGTTCTCTTTCTCATCACGTTTGACCTTTCGATCGACAACAAACCCCTCTTCACTCCCGACTCTCTTTCTTTCGAAAACGACCTTGAATCCAACACCGGTACATCTTGATTCGTCTCTGGCGATTGACGATCAGCCGTCGGTCCACGTCCAGATTCAATACACCGAAAGGTCCGCCCCAGATGGCCTCGAGCTCTTCTTTTTCGAAGAAATATACTCGTGTACCATCCCCACGAACATAGAAATTGCCTTCCATCCACCTTCCCGCCTTAAATCGTACCTGTGCAAGATCTCCTCGACCGTAGTCTCTGAATAAAACTTCTCCACCAGGTTTGAGAATCCGTTGGATGTTAGTGACAGCCTGCTGCCACTGGTTGGGATGAAGAGCCGAGAAGATGAATATCATAATCACAATATCGACGCTCCCCTCTTCGACACCGGGAGGTAAATTCACACCAGCAACATCCCAGACGTCAGCGGCCATTACTCCGTTCGCATGCGCGTAGTCGGCTGCACTTCTCATGGTTTCGACAGCTTTTTTACTGAAGTCGACCGCGAAAAGCTTCAAATGTGGGTTTTCATTCATCCTCAGTATGGGAAAAGCGGTGTTTCCAGCCCCCGCGCCCACCTCCAGGACTACTTTCTTGCCAGCCGCGTTCCTTGTCACCTCTTTCAGAACGGGAAACTCTTGGACCAACCATTTTCTGTCTTTGAAGAATGTGCTTGTCTTTTGCTTGTAGAAAAGATCCCACCATTTCTCCGGATGTTCATTGAAACGTGCCCGGTCGAAATCGGAAACGGGCGACGCACGCTGGGCCGCGTACTGTGATTCACAATACTCGTAATGTGATTTGTCTGGAACTACATGGTCCCAAGCGTTGTATTCGAAAACATCGTCGGATTCGGACAGATACCGCTGTCCAAACTGAAACGGGTTTGTTCGTTTCGCATTCGTGGCAGGGTCATGAGAGAGGTGAGAAGGAATTGACTCGGGCAAGTCTACAATGGTGTTTGTGACCGGGGTGATCTGTTTTAAGTCTGGCTCCTTGTGGAGAGAAAGTGACCCAAGTTGTGATATCACGTCTGATGAAGTCACAGTGTGTTCAATGCCTCTATCCGGTGCCATGACTGTGATGGTCTGAAATTTGAAGTCTTGAATTGTCTTTTGTTCGCGGTAAATATTCCCTGCGGAGAAGATATCGACTCCTATTGGCTGAACGGGGAGCCTCAACAACCACATCCTCCATCTTATTTATGAGTCGTATATCCGTGCATCCGATAGCTGGTCGGTTCTTGATCGAAATGGCTATTGAGGATTTCATCACAGATCCTACCCTGCGGCCTTTGCTACAAACATCACAAGCAACTCTCGGGCAAACACTCTCTGTTCTTTCGTGGTTAGAGGAGAACGCATCCACGACAGCAGCCCCCCTCGACTTGAAACTCGATCTTGCAGAACGACAAAAGATACTCAACGCCTACCTTGCCAAACTTCGCGGTCAGCATCGTCAAGCAGCTTTTGGAGCGCGGGCAACGAAACAGGAGACCGCCGAGGCTAGGCAAGAGGTTGATAGATTGTTGTTACAATTACAAAACTTGTATTATGAGCAAAGACACCTGATGGGCGAGATTGGAGCGTGCGAAGGATATGAGTGAGTGTATCGTGCTCCTTTCATGGCTTTTTTCGGGTGCTGATCGACACAGCCATGCTTACACGCACTTACCACTTCGGCCCCTCGATGAGTATTTGACCTTGTTCCCAGAACAGGCGGAACTGTCAGAGCAGGAATTGATGCCTTTGAGGATTGAGCACGAAAAACAAGAGCGAGAGAAGATGGAGCAGGAGAGATTGGAATTAGTCAAGATCAAGGATGGGCTAGTCAAAGAGAACACCACCAAGAAAGACGAGCTGAAGAAAATGGACGAGAAACTGGAGGCCATGCTTGATGGATTCAAGGGCTTAGAAGAAGCGCTGCAAAAGGATATTTGAGCGATATGAATTTCTCTGGGTCCCTTCACCATGGTTCTGGGCGGCCCATTTGAGTATCACCAAACTTACGTGGGAGATGAATATTATCAAGGTACCGGCCACTATGAACAGAGGAGATCTCTACAATCTGTTTTGAGGAGGCATCCATGTCAGATCGTGTGTCTCCTTTGGACAACAAACAAGAGCTTTACCATATCTTTATGGAAGCTTCCATGTCGAACAAAGGTTTCGTCTTCCTTCTTATAGGGGCGGCCTCAGTTGCTGACGGAGTAGGTTTTGGCTTCTTTTTGTGGGAGGGTTTTCTGGTCTATATCAGAACGACTATATCTTGATGGTACAGGCGTCCTCCTGACCCTTCGCTGCTGAGGTGGGGTGGATTTAGCTTACAATGCCTTCTCTTCGCGCGTTCATGTTGGCTCGCCTACATATATGTATGCGCAGAATGGTTTTCTCCTGCGAGATTTTCTCCCGATATCACTACCACCACCATCACCTACTCTTCCTCCACCAACAATGTGGACAACGAACCATTGCCGAGTCTTTTGGGCTTGCCCGCAAAGCCGCGGCCCAAAATCTTCTCCGACCTTCTGCCCTTCCAAAGTGTACGAGGGATGTCGCGTCAACAAAGAGTCGCACAAGGGAAGTCCCTACACGGCCTACGCACAATATCAGAGAATAGGATGACTCGCCAATTCCCACCGTTGACTGCCAAAAAGTCACCGAAATCAGATTCTGCTCGGCACTGTGCCTGCGAAAATTCTCCCAAATAATCGGCTCAAGGCAAGCAAGGTTGATTAACAAGATTATCTGCACATGAGTCAGGTAGGTCAGAACCAGCAGGATTACAGATGCAATGCCTTTTTCTTTTTTGGGTGGTTCGCCGGTGTCGGTGGAAAACTACCTAGAGCATTCTATAGCCTCCCATCGACTTCCGCCGGCCTCCCTCGCCGGCATTACCTGACAATACTCTCTGGGACCGTCGCGTTAAGGTGGAAACTGGCGACATTTGGGATGACTCCTCTGATACAGACTGGGAGTGCTCACGATCTCCGCAATGCCATCAGAAGATGTTGAAATGGCCGGTACCGACACGAACAACAACCAAGCACTGGGGACTGAGGGACATATCATACAACATCGACGGCTGAGATGCAGGGCGTGGCACCGGGAACAACCCCTACAGGCTCAAATGGAGAATGGTACATGATGTGGAGTCGCAAGCTTCTCCAAGATGTGACGGCACGCGGAGGACAGGACGTTGCCACAACGCTGACAGAAGCATCCATATCTTTAAACCAATTCAACCAGGAAGCCAGGCGTTGGAAAAAAAGTAATTACAGTGATTGAAGAGGAGCGCGGTCATGAAAAATGGAGAGTGTCTTCTCTGCGGTGGAATGACATATTATCATATGAAAAAAAGGAAGAAAGAAAGCGAGCACACACATACAAGAGCTGTGACGTCCTCATGAAGAGGCTTAGCAAATTGAATTGGCTGACCATGAGAGAAGAGACAATCTGCGTAGGATAGCCGAGCATAGACACGGATGATTCGTCAGGACAAACTTCGCCATCTTCAATCAGTAGATATCTGTCAGAAGCTGGTATAGGAATATGCTCATGAACAGTATTGTATCAAATTCTCCTCGCTCGACACAAGGCACCAGCTAGTAAAGGAAAGAGTGGCGGCATACTGAACTGTCAATACTGCACCTGAAAGTGTCTTTCCATTTCAAGGAAAACGAGATCTGATGCATCAAATTGTAATGACGATTTTCCCTTCCGTCCTACCCTCCCACAAGTCCTTGAAACCCTCATCTGCCTTTTCCAACGGTAACACCTTGCCAATATGCGGTTTGATCCCCTTGGACACCACGAAACTCATCAAGTCGACAAATTCCTCCCTGGTCCCAATATAGGCTGAGGTAAGCGTGATCTGGTCGACGATCAATCTCAGCAGATCAATGGAGACGTTGACGGAGCGACCGTCTGAATGAATACCGCATGAAACAACGATGCCGCCTGCTTTCACAGATGCGACGGAATGGGATATGGTCGCGGCGCCGGACGTGTCGAATGCAGCGTCGACGAGATATGGCAGAGGGGCCAGAGGCTCGAAAGTGCGTTCAGCTCCGAGTTGTTTTGCGAGTGCTCGTTTGGATTCTGTGCGGCCCGTTGCCCACACACGAAAGCCCGCGGCGGAGCCCAGTTGAATCAGAGCCGTTGTCACGCCTGCATCAGATTGTCAATGAGATGAGACCAAACACTCAAGGGTTGGGAAGCGCCATGAAGTATGGATAGACATACCGCCAGAGGAGCCTTGTACCAAGACAGTCTGACCAGCCCTGAGCTTGGCCTTGTTGAACATCATTCTGTACGCTGTCAACCAAGCAATTCCCATGACGCTTGCAGCATTCGCATCCAGGCCCTTTGGTCTTGGTACCGCGTTTCTTTTCGGCACCATGACATAGTCCGCCAATGTTCCTTGCACAATTTCACCTAGAACATGTCTTTTTGGATCAATCGTCTCATCGCCTTTGAAATCTGGATCTCCGAGATTCGGATAGAGGGCAACCTCCGTTCCATTTTCGAGGATACCGGCACCTTCATTGCCTAGGATCATCGGAAATCGAATCTCGTGCTTCCCAATACCACGCAGTGTAAAAATGTCGTGAAAGTTCAGTCCCACGGCGTGCATCTTCACTTTGACCCATCCCTCTTGGGGTTCGGGGGGATTTCGTCTCTTGATTCGGATTGACGACAATGGGTCCATTGAATTGCCGACTGATGCGTAGATAGTGCGTATTGTCGGTTTCTTTGGGTCCACATCACCCATCTCGAGGTGTTGGACTTTGTCGTTCTTGGTGGTGAACATGAGAAACAGATCGAATGGATCGTGAATGCCGAATTCCTTCGCAAAATCTCCATCCATCACGATGTGAAGGTATGTCCTGCCATCACTTTGTACTTCTTGCTCGAGTATCTGCACTCGAGCATGATGACCGATGATTCCATGTTCGCATAGAAGTCTGATCGCGTCACCCTTGAAACTTTTTCCATCGTCAATGATTTCCGCATCGGTGGCAAATGAACTCAACATCAGTTCCGCCTTGGCAGTGTTGATGCCTTGAATGAATCGATTGACTGCTGTCTGAGATGAAGCCATTATGACAATGACTCTCTTGAAACTTGACTTGTCGACTCGCCTCATTGCAATGCAAGGAGAAACACCCAATATTTATATCTCATGATGAAGGTGAGGCATAATCTGATTGGATGGTCGATGAAAAGGACAATGCTGTGGATCGACAATTGGGAGAGTCTGACGGAAACGGAGTAGCAAGCAATAACGGCCTTCTTTGCAACAGGTGGTCACCGTCAGACTGGGTTACGTCGTTCTTGCACGGCGTTGGCTGAGCTCACGTGATCGTAAGCCATTTCGTCCGGCGAAGAGTCAGCATGTCGTAGACCCCTGCACATAAGCGGTATTTTATCCAAAATGCTTGCATGTCAAAGCTTGTTGTGCCTTGGACTGATAAATAGGACTGTCCTCAACAGCAGACAGTGGCTTTCATGATCCCCCGAATACAGGGTTCCCATTTCCGATCAGAGAGAGACAAACTCGGCGGTCGATATGGCATCGTCTCAAAGGTCTTTCGTGACAAATTTCATACAAAGCGATGCGGAAAGTCGACCCTACGTTGTAGATTATCGGTCTCCAGCCAGGAAAGAAGCTCATTATAAGCAATCTCTCGATGATCAAAAGGCGAGCTCGCAGTTTGACCCGATTGGATGTCATCTGGGCCTCCCTGAGAACGAAACATCGGATAATGAGATTCTGCGAGACCTGTGGTGCCAGTTCCATCAGTAGGGGAAGAGTTCATGGAGGGATGGGACTGTAAATCATTTCCGTTGCTGCGAGGTACATCAATCCTGGGGCTCGTTTTCGACAAGTCGACCCTCCTCAATCTACCCATGAGCGAGCTGAGATCAGTCAGAACATTGGCACAGTCCTTTGCATATTCCTTATTACTGCTCTCGTCCACGTCCAGGGCGGAGATCACGAAGTCAATTGCTTCGTGGTCTCCTTGTGCCTGGTTTTCGAACAAGATTTGATAAAGTTGCAAGGCCAAAGCAGCATTGAACAGGTCATGCACGCTAGAATGCGACAGTCTTGCAGGACGGGGAAGGTTCGAGAGTCGGTGCCACAAGTGGATGTTACGTCGAGCAGCATTGGCGCAGAGATCAAGCTCGCCTTTGTACGTGATGTCTTGTACATTGGTCCGGCCATTGAGGAGCATATCCGCGGTGGCTTTCTTGACGTTGATGAACAGCAGTGGCCGCACTGCTAGAATGAGGAGCTATCATTCCATCAATATGCCCATTCTCCTAAGAACTAGGGTAGTTCCAAACCTGATTTTGCGCCATGTGCAACTCTCCTACGGCACGGTCACGACTCAAATTTTCTTCGGTGCCCAGAAGAGTCGGTGGCAGACTCTCACTCCATGACTTCAATTGCCTCAGAGACTGATGAATACAGAGGGTGGTCCTGAGAGGCTCCTCGCTCTGGCGGGCAACATCATAGACATTGGACACGATGTAGTTTGAGATCCTTGCCAGTTCGATGTGAGCACGAAGGCCAGCGGCAGAAGGCAAGCCACTTGCGAGTATTAGTACAGATCTCTTGAGACAGAAAGATGAGTGTACCTTGAGTCGCGAGGCAAATCCAATTTGATTGCATCGTCCGATATCAGCGCCGGTCTTCCCATCAGACAGCTCAGCCACCTGTGACCGTTAGAAATTCAAACTGATATATCAAGTAGTATCCACCAACCGATCGAGAACATAAACTGTCCAGAACAGTCTTTTGCCTGGCTCATCCACCATCCAAGCTCTGTGGACCCCGTGGACGATCAAGATGTGCATTGCCACGCTGATATAGATATAAGCAGCGTCTCGTCGATTGTTGTTCAGCAGATAAAATCCCAATAAAGCGAGAACGTTTGCGTCATTGATAATTGAAACGTCAAGCGGATTCCCGATCAGATTTCTTGCTCTTGCGAAGAACGTTTGACCGAATCCAGTCTCCCACTCGGGGGCGCAGCTTGGGTTGAATTGACATGCCACAGCAAAAGCAGCATTGGCCGTGGCCATGCCGGGACCGACCTCGATGGTCGCCGCCGCGTCGAGATAGGCTTGATATTCGCCCAGAAGAGATTGTGCGTCCATCCAGTAATAAATGCCACCAGAAGGAAAGCCGTCGTCCGCGTCCTGCGCGGAATAGCGAAGCTCGGAAAACATGGCCGTGGCTTGTTCTTTCGTCGGCAGCACGAGCGGATCTACGTTGGAGATGAGGAGTGGTCGACTGTCGTGAGTCTGGTATTTTCCAAGGGTCGAGATGAAAGCTGTGGTGTCGGGATTGGAGCCACCGGGCCAGGCGGCTTCAAAGGCCAGTGGAAACACCGTCGCCATGTATTCTCGTAGATGGTTGAGAAATGTTGCTCCTGACGATTCCCCAAGATATCTCACCGTGCCGTCTGGGTCCTGGAGAATTCGACCTTCTCGAAAGTGTTGATTTTCCTCCGCTATTTCCTGATCCTCGTTCCCCGGGTTTCGCCCTGGGCCGGAAGCTTTTGCTTGCAAATGCTGAAGCAATTTATTTCTTTCACGGTCCGACGGGATCACCTCTGCAAGACCTTGTTCAAGTAATGTACACTTTGTTTTCAGCGCCTCATACTCTCTCCGTGGGATTGACACCATCTCCTCGATTTGGGGATAGTGGCACTCCCGCGACGCCCTGCGACACCTTTCGCATGGCTGGCCTCCGGAGCATCTTGCCCGCCTGAGGTTGCAGTTATTGCACCTTCAATCCCCACGTTGAATGTCAGTCTGCTGTCACAGCACAGTCAATGAAATGGGTTTCCCTACGCTTGAGCGACTCTCTTCCGAGCTTCTGGGGCAATCTTATGGCGCCGAGGATTGACGGGTAGACGCTCCATCCGAGCCGAGTCCGTAGTAAGCATGGACGAAATGTTGGCTTTTGGACCGCCGACATAGCGGGGTCGGTTAGGACACGAGGATCGATGGTGAGATCGTGTTCAAGGTTTCGACGGTGCAGAAAGAAGCCATCAACTCATCCCCTGCGCCGCCCCTTGTAGAATGTCATAAAATTGTCCGAGAAGGAGGCGAGGCATACGATCCACTTTGTCTGGAGCTGGTCTGGAATGTGGTCCGACTGCTCGCGCCTGCTGAACCCCAGATTCTGGCCCGCCTGCTGCTCTCGTGGATACAGAAAGTCTGCCGAGCCCCTTAATTTCCTCTTCAGCTCGCCAGCCGAAGAAACGAGTTTCAGTCTGTGATAGTATCTGAATCCGTGCTTTGTCTATCGTCTAGGAAATATCAGAGGTAACGTTCTCTGACGCCCGGCTGAAGAAGTCTACTCCCAATCATCGACCCTGGCCAGCTAAACCAGGCTTTGCTGGTACACTCCCCTGTTTGACCATCGACGGCCTCCGAAAACAACCCATCCCAGAGCATACATCCACAGATCTTTCTCCAAGCGGCAGACTCCTCCTGGATATTGCCGGTCATTTGAGCATACCTCCAGCTTTGGAAATATCCCAACGGCCATGGATCTCGTGTATGAACACTCCCTAAACCACCGAACGGTCCATCTCCATAGTAGCCACCATCATTTGCGACGGAGAAGGCAAATTCCATCGTGTTGTGCCATGCCTGTCTCTCAATATCAGTCTTCACAAACCCCCAAACAGGAGCAAACAGCGTAGGAAGATCATTGGCATCATGATAAAAAGTCCGGTGACTTTGCCCATCCACCAGATAAGCAAACGAAGTCTTTCCTCGGTCTGGATCTAAGCATAAGAAATGTTTCACCGTGGCAACACGCACGTCATCTGCGAGAACTCTCAGCCTCCTACACAGTTGCGAGCAATTGGGCAGCTGCGAAGTCAGTTTAGCCAGTTTGGACAATGCATGCCACAACAGGACATGACTCGAAAAATGAAAAGGATGCTCGACCGCATCATCTCCAGGAGTCTCATCTGTCGCAAATAGTCCTGTGGATTGATCCTTTTTGGACTCGATCAGACTCAAGACTTGAAAGATGACATCTTCACTGAGGATACTTTGTACGAGATCTTGCTCTTCCGGGAACGTCTCCCAAAAATCGCAAATTTCCAGTAACGGATAGCATTGTTGGTCCAGTTGAAACACCGCTCCGTCTTTCGGCCGACCCGTTGTCAGGTACGACCTGTGCCAATATTGATGCGGTCGTTGAGCATATCGGTAGATCCAGACCAGGTGACCTTTGATCGTGTCCCTGATCATCTGGAGGTAAGCCTTTGCCGTTCTTTCATCAGCTAAATCATCCAGATTCCGATGTACGTCCATTAAGAACCGAACCTGCCAGCTTATTTTGGGTCAGTGATGACGAGCACGGCAAAGGTTATTGGTACGTACTAATTGTCTCTCATCCAACCAAGCGGCAGAGCAACATGATCCGTGATCAAGCACACTACCCCTCTCAACGGCGACAGGGGGATTGAGCAGTTTCCCAGGATGTACTCGAGATTTCTTCGAACGATGAACCTCCCGGTCGTTTCTGATGTGGGCCATATAGACGGCAGTCCGACGGACAGAGTGATCTCGTCGTCAGAAAATGTCTGACAAGTGGTCCCTGGCCGGAGCGTAAATCTTGCCATCAACCTCCTCGACTCTTTCGCCGGAACCTCTAACATTCGAGAAAAGTCTCCGGCGACTGGTGCATTGTGGAAAACCTTCTCCTCAATATCTCCTCTCAAATCAACAGGTTTGCCATCGCTTTTCAGACATCCTTGTAAATGTGCACTTAAATGAGGGTTCACAACTACAACATCCTGACCATGGTTCTGGAGCCCAACCCTATTTTCCGATGGCGGTATCGGAATCGGTCCACCTTCTGTCAATTGTCCGTAAGACGCCCGATTGACACTAACTCCCAAGTTCATGGTATATCTCACATTGGCTGTGGAGCTCGTCGTGGAAGTGATCTCGGAAGACTGTATCACTCCCGCGTCGCGACTAATCTGCAATGATGTAGTGATCAGAAACCCATCAGAAGTGCTGTACGATATTCTAGCACGACCTAGACCGTCAAGGTCCACCTGCACGTTCTGAACTTGAACATCGAAACAGATCCCGAAACCGCGAGTACTAGTCTCGATGGACTTGAGCATCCGGGCGCGATACTCTCGAACATACGGAGTGTCTCTGAATCTTGAACCATCGAATTGTTCATATGGCTCAGCCAGCACAACGCCATGTTCGGGATGGAAGACACTGATTTGGAGAATCTGGTGTCACTATGAGTACATTGTTCACAAGCGCGGCAAGACAGCTCATACCGTTCCCAGAGAATCTGTAGACAGGGAGACACCGTTAAACCCTATATCAAGTGTCTTTGAAGGTTTCTTTGAACCGTGCAGGTTCATTGACATTGTTTCCGATTCCATCTCTCAGAACGCCTATATCGGAATCTCTGCTCTGGGCCGTCCTCCTATATACACCACAGACGGAATGGATATCGCAGACAAGATGCATAATATGAGACGATCGTCGCATGGAACCGCACGGGTACCGTACCCTACACGGCGCCCTTCTTTGGCCTTCTCACTGGCACAGCGTGCTTTGGCCCAAGCACCGTCTTTCTGGGCATTGAACGTCCAGAGGCCGCCGCACGGAACGGCATCAAAACTGGGTCTCCTCTCAGGACTGAGAGCTCTCCCTTCTCACTTTGTCTTGGCGAGATCTCCATACCCCAGAAAAGTCTCTATGTGTTTGAATAACGCTACCAGGATCTTGGGGGGGCTACGGGTACCGTACCCTTTGATGGTTTCCAGCGGTCGGTGCCCAAGTCGTGATACTGATATAAAAGCCGGGCATTCGACAGGCGAAGGGCAGGCCGTTACATCAATCTCTTTGAACACAGTCTTGCAAAACAGCCTTTTTCGGCAAAAATTTTCACCAAAGGAGCTCCTTCATCAATCAAAATGAACGAGAAACAAGGCTCAGACCACGTCGAAACTGGCTCGTCCATCATCCACACCGAACCCGAAGGCAAAGAAAATGTGCCCGTGGGACACATGCCGGTGACCAACGAAGAAAGGGTTTTGAATAGAGCTTTAAATCGGAAGCTCGATATTGCGCTTTTGCCTTTCTTGTCACTATTGTACCTCTTCAATGGCCTGGACAGAGGCAACGTGGGAAATGCCGAAACACAAGGTAATGTCAGTCATCTCAAGTCCGTTACAGGAGTTTCTGACCCCCTGTTTCTAGGCTTTACCAAAGATATCGGGGCTCACTCAGATGATCTCAATTTGGCTGTGAGCTTGTTCTTCATCACCTTTGTGCTGTTTCAGCCTCCATCTGCAGCAGTTGGCAGGTGGATGGGAGCCAAGCATTGGATTCCAATCATTATGGTATGCGTGAAAGCCGCGTGGCTCCAGATTTCGTCCTTAACAATTTGATAGTTCTGCTGGGGGGTTTTGACAATTGCCCAAGCGTTTATCAAAGGCAGAGGTATGAAATCGAAGCTATTCTTCACGTGAGACTCATACTTACTACGAAACAGGTGCACTGATTGCCACTCGACTCCTTATCGGTGCTTTCGAGGCTGGCTTCTATCCCACTGCAGTTGCGTACCTCTCCAACTTCTACACGAGATTCGATCTTGCGGTTCGGATAGGCCTGTTCTACGGTCAATATGCTGTCGCCGGAGCCTTCTCTGGTTCAATTGGTGAGTAAATTAGCATCGACGGAGAAAATGGAACCTAATCTCCGCTCAGCATATGGAATTTTCCACATCAAAACGGGAAGCCTCGAAAATTGGCAGTATCTATTCATTATCGAAGGCGCCGCCACTTGTCTGATTGCCTTGATCGCGTGGTTCTGGCTGCCCCTTGGCCCCGGTAGTGCATGGTTTTTGAAAGAAAAAGATCGTGTCTATGCAGCAGAGCGGATGCGATTGGACAACGTGATGTACGTTCAACATTCGTATGGCGAAAGCGGATTGGAGAAGGACAGGCTGACAAAAAGGGATGTGATTGAGACCGCAAAAGATTGGAAGCTGTGGTATGTATTACTCTTCAACATTCTCGCCAGTGTTCCGGGTCAAGCCTTTTCTGTCTTTCTACCACTGGTTGTCGCTGGGCTGGGGTACTCATCGATTGATGCCAATTTGGTAAGCTTCTGCGTCCGCAAAAGTTCCGATTTTATTCTAATCATCTCAGATGTCTGTGCCTCCATATGTGTGTGGTGCATTCGGCCTGTATCTTTTCGCGCTCAGCTCGGACAGAAGGTACCCACCATCACCTTACCAACCCTTTTGGAAGCCTCAACTTACCTCGTCTAGGAGAGAACGAGGCTGCCACATTATCCTTGGTCTTCTAATTGCTCTAGTCGGACTCATCATCACTGTCACTGTCGATGGCCACGGAGGAAAATATGCCGGTCTTTGTATTCTACTGTTTGGAAGTTATGTCTCGGCACCACTGACCGTCGCTTGGCTGAGTGGCAATACACCTGGTAAGTATTACCCAAGCTGTCCCCTTGAGATTCTACTTTGCTTACCACACCTAGAACCTGGCAAGAGAGCTCTCGTACTTGGGGTGAACGGCTTTGGCAATCTCTCTGGAGTCATCGGCTCACAACTCTTTCGCAAATCTTATGCCCCAGAATATTTGATGTAAGTGGCCCCCCTCCATTCCAGCTTGGCTCCTATCATCTTGTATACATGCTGATATATATTTCTCCCAGTCCATTCTATGTAACACTCGCTTTCATCGCTGTCGCACTGGCAGGATATCTGGCATATCGCTTCACATTAGCGGCCGTCAACAAGGCACGACAAGCCAAACTGGCAAGGATGACACCGGAGGAAATTGAAAACGAGAGAACAACATCATTGAGATATGCAGACCGGAAATATACTTTTATATACGGCTTATGAAGTTCTGGAGTTGTGAGGGCGGAGAACTCCAAGCCAGTCTTGCGAGACCTAGTCCTGTGGGAGCTAGTCCTGCGAGAACCAAGTCAGAAATCGGCTTTTGCTCCACATCAACCAGCTAATTGATACAATTCGAGCATCAATCGTGACTGTTGAGTTTCCTACAGCTACAGACTCAGCAGTCTAAATTCACCATCCAGAGACGAACCTTGATAAATCGACGGGATCTCGTAATTGACTCCCGCATGTGTGCCATATGCCTGCATGAATACTGCGCTGTGTGCACCGTACCGTCATAATTGTCAATTACGGAGCCGAAGGGGGCCAAGAACCTCACCGAGGACCAACTCGACCCTGTTCAGACGGACCTCAGCGTCGTCGTCAATAGACACCGCCAAACCCGGCAGCGGGGTGCTCTGATACCTAGGCACAATTACGTGACGAGCAACTTCTGTTGTTGTAGCGGTGGGAAGAGAATGTAGGAGCTAACTAGAACTATCTGCTGGGGGTAGCCGCCTTACTTATATATGCTCCGTAAACGAATGTAGTCTAGCATGTGCCAGTCCTGGGCAAGAAATCCGTGTGATTTTACGGAGGACTTCGAAGGGGTCCAAGGGACCGTCAGACTATATACTTTCGAAGCGTGTACGAAGCGTACAACGCTCCCGCAGGTCTTTACAAGCCTTGGCGTCGCCACATATCACATCCGCAATATGACCAAGTCACGTGTTCGCCAAGCGCGTTACTCTTTGAATTATTTCAAAACTGTAAATAAACACGAACTCCATGAGCCCCGCCATAAACTCACATCTCAAGATTCTGCGAACTCCACCTGAAGATTCTGCGAATTATACCTGAAAATTCCGCGAACCCTATCTGGGCCGTATATCAAGAGCCGGAACGATACAAGGCGCGACGCTAACAAAACGGGTATCGTACGCTCTATTAGATATTCGGCAACCACGAGGTGCAATGGCAAGTGAATTGCGACCCGGTACGTCACTTCCATGCGAACGCGTTCCTGACTCATTAAACTAGGCAACCGTACCGGCCGCTCAGTGGTTCGCCCGCCATTTTCCTTCTCTAAATCTGAACCCAAAGCAAGGACGTCCGCCCAGCCAAAGAATACGAATCTATCTCGTGGCTTGAGACGAGCTTACTCTTCAGCATACTCTCCGCAATTCTCTGCGGACAAAATCAAAGAGACTGATCCGGACCGAATCAAACTGCTTTGGCGAGAGGTCGTGGAAAAAAACACACCTCGATATACACGCCAAACTTTGGCCAGCCAATCCAGGAATCAGGCTCAGTCAAATGTGACTCCAAAAAGCACCCTCCCGACATCTGTCTCCAAAAGCAGTACTCCTAGAACAGAGGTCCCCAAAACTGCCACGGTCCGCGATGCTGACTTCAAACACACTCAGTTATTTCCGCGGGGGCTTGAGATATCCAGTGAGCGTCCAAGCTTGGGAGGAGCTCACACCCATTTCGGCTCCAAGACACCTCCGAACGCCGCCAAGTCATGCGAATTTTACCGGTGCATCGTTCAAGAAGCCCTTGCAGGAAGAGCTGACCGGGATATAGACGACTCAATATTCCTGCCCATGGACACCAAATTTGTCACGTCCGTGCTCACGGCCTATGGCAGAATGGGAAAGGCAGGCGTTTCAGAAGCTGAGTTTCAAGGATACGCTTGTCAGAAACTGTTCATCGGTCCGTACGCCGTCTTAGAAGATGATGTTGAAAGACAGCTTGGTGCTGTACGGTGTGTGGAAGTGCCGCTCAAGCCCCGCGAAAGCCGGAACCGACTTATGTGGGGTGAGCCTCCAATGATCTCGAAACAGCCTCCTTTGAAACCCTTTAGCTTCGATACTTACGCCGACTGTCAATTCTGGCTTAGCGACAAGATCATAAATCCCGAATATCGATTAGATGTCAAACACATCGTACATATGAAGGAGTTGGGTACATTTTGTCCCTATTTCTCGATTGAGTTCAAAGCCACAACTTGCGACCGGCAGGTTGCGGATAATCAGGTACTTGTCGATGGCCTAGCTTCCTTGTTCAATCGATATCAATTGAAGGTCGACGCCTTCCCTCATCCCGCTCCGGAACAATTCAAACTGGTTCGTCATTATGGATTGACAATGGAGAAAGATAGTTGGACAGTATGGCTTTTTCAACCCAAAATAGTTAAGAAGACGACTTGGGCCGGCTGCAGAGTGCGAATTCTTGGTACTGGGAGTTGTGAGACTAACCGAGAAGTGCTCGCATTGCTTGAATGGATCAACGAAATTCACCGATGGGGCCTCTGCGAATATGCTCTCGGATGTGAAGAGGATATTAAACAGATTCTGAGCAAAGATTCCAGCAATCTCAGAATATCCGCGATAGGGGTCTCAAAGGAAACCGAAACTGTGGAAACCGGAATGGCGGAGGAAGTCTAAAATGATGAAGGCAGCACAAAATTATGAACGGAGCTCAAGGTGGTGAAAGAAGGTCAAAAATGGTGAATTGGAGCCCAAAGGAACCTGAAATGTCGAGTACGGCCCGAAATGGTGTATGGAGTAAAGCCAAATACCGGTGCATGGATTAAAGGGAATGGAAGTATGCTCATCAAAGCAGGCGTCTATGGACCTGTGAGTACACTGGCTGGGCGCGTAAATGGGTATAGATTCCTTCTATTCCAGGAGATTTCAACTTGTGTGATAAGGCTCCTCAGATGATCACTGCTGAGGAGACTACTGCAAAGAACGCGTGGGCACGTCTTTCAGAGGCTTACGAATCTCAGGACTTCTCTACTATCTACGAGCAAGTCTCATTGATTCACACTGTCACGTATCGAGGCTGCAATACTCTGGAGGAGTATGTCAACAAGATCAAACTTAATCGTGCCAATCGATGCTCTCGGGCATAGATGGAATGACGATGTCTGGTCTACGATTCTCATCAAGGGTGTTGGCAGTCCACATGGGGGGTATTATTCTGTACACCAACTTTTGTTATTCTGTACACCGGAAAACCTGCTTATTCTGTACACCATGCCTCAACTCTCCTTATTCTGTACACCACCACCTCTCTCTCGCCTTATTCTGTACACTTAACGCTCTCATCCTGTTATTCTGTACACCGCGCTAACAGAGCTTGTTGCCGTTGGCCCGGCGATGGCGAGAAAACACTAGTAAGTGGCGTAGCTGTGGAGGGGTGACGCGTTAAACTCTCCCCGTTATAGGTGGTTGCGAAGCAATAAACACATTTGATTCCCTTTTCCTTGGTAGATAAGTACCGTGCATTTTGAGCTTCTCTGTATACTTTGTAAATTATTGTGGCCTACACAGCCGGATTTGTGTAGAGATCCCCTGCACGGTCGATACCTCGTGCTGACTAAGGTAACAAACCAGCGCCCATAGGCTTGGG